TGTCTATTTGTCTGTTAGACTGTGTTAGCCTCTTTGTCCGCAAAAACTTTAACTGTGCCCATAAAATTTGATTGGTTGGAACTACTGCTTTCATATTTCTTATGTGTATTCCTAGTAAAAAGGACTTCCTTCAGGTACCAACATATTTGACCTCTTGACCTTGAACTTGGAGTTTGATCCTCTTTCGCAAAATTTTACCAAACTATAACCTTGGCCAAAACTTTTGAACAGTTGGTGCTATGGCTTTTATACTTCACATCTGTATCCCTTGTGATAAGTCTCCTCCTTGGGTATAAATATGTTTGACCATTTGACCTTGACCTTGGAGTTTGACCAACTTTTAAACAACTTTAGCCTTGACAATAACTTTTGAATGACTAGTACTAGGGGTTTTATATTACATAGGTAATTTTCTTGTGACAAGGCCTGGCATTGTATACCTATAATTTTGACCATTTTACCTTGACCTTTGAGTATGTCCTACTTTTGAAAAACTTTAACCTTGGTTTTAACTTTTTGGTGCTAAGGCTTTTTTAATACCACATGTGTATTCCTTGTAACAATTAAGACCTTCCCTCAAGTACAAACAATTATGATCCCTTGACCTTGGAGTTTGACCTTTTAAAGAAATTAACCTTCGCCATAACTTTTAAACTGTTGCTGCTGTGGCTTTCATACTAGTATATATTTCACAGTATATTCTTTGTTCAAGACCTTTATTTGGGTAATAACATTTTTTTTATCTTTTGATCTTGACCATGGAGTTTGACTTGCATTTGAGAAACATTAACTTTCACCATAAGATGCCATATGGGGGCATCAGTGTTTCAAAAATCACGTTGTTCAGTATCCAAATCGGGCATAAAACATTTACAATGATCCTTTAAAGCAGTGAGTTGAACCTAATAAATTACAACTATAGAAATTATGATAATTTATTTCGATGTATGGTCTAAAAACGTTTATTATACCTCTGTGAAAACTAGCTTACAAGTGAAAAATCACTAGTAAAATAGAATTTGATTGGCCGAGAAAGTCACGTGTCCATCATGTTTGCCCTGCAACAAAACGTCGTGTTTCACGATTGTGACGTCACAATTAAACGAGTGAGGAGTTAGATTGTTTATAGCGACGCTGCTAACTTCGTTCGCGCGGTAACAACAACTAAAAATTCACCCCAAAAAATCACCTTAATTAATGGAATTGCATACATATAGTAGATTAAACGTTCTTTGTTAAAATGTTTGCACTTTTCAAAATTCGTTTATGGAAATACAGCTAACATACGTCATGAGACGTCACAGTCTAGACGTTCCAAATGTCTCGTGCTGTTTGAAGAGGAGGATCTTAAAATTAAGTGAACAATGCACTCCCCCCAACGGTCGCACCGTCAACATATTATCGTTGATTGATTGTGTCGATTTAAATGTGTAAAAATGAAATAGTGGTGTTTGAATGTTACTGGTGTGATCACGCAAACTTGTCACGTAGGATTTTTTTTAATGAAACGAGGAAGCAAATTCAGTTTTTTTTTTTTTTTTTTTTTTGGGGGGGGGGGGGGACAGCCATACATTTTCAGTTGACAGTTGAGGGGGCACTACTACCATAAATTTCCTGACAAGCGAAAAAAAAAAGGTCACCAACTACCAAAAATTCCTTGACAAGCAAAAAAAAAAGAAGGTTATCAACGTTTTTATTGAGGTGGCACAAGCTATAGTATCTATGTCTATGTCTACTATAGTAATCTATATATCGGCAAAATTATTGGGGGGTACGCCCACACCCCCCGTGCCCCCCTCCCCCGGTTCCTACGGCCATGTTGATTAAATTTAGGGTCACTAAGGAAAGAATGTTTTGACTGGATGAATGGTCTGAAAGAACATGTGTTAACTTGTCGAGTCGGTAACACATAGATGGGGTTTGCTTATAACCAGAGTGTGTCATGGTTTGATGCAAGGTCATTTGAACGAGTTCAAGGTCATCAACGGAGAAACAACATTCCTTAACTGTCTTTCTACTGGTGAGACATTGCAAGTTGATACCCCTTACAAGATTGCTTATAACCTTAGAATGTGGCATGACCTTGACTCAAGGTCACTTCTTCCTGTTCGCAGCTCCAACGGAAGACCTACTCGTTGCTTTGCAACGAGCTCTGCTCTAGTTTAGATTATTTCTATTAAAACCACATTTCATTAACTTTCTCTTCTTTTTTCTTTCTTTCTTTTTTTGGGGGGGGGGTCTTTGATTATATTTTCTTTTTAATTTTTGTTTTATTTCTTGAACGGTTTTTTTTCTTTGTTTTTGTTTTATTTACTTTGCTTTATTACAGGAACCATCTGTGTGTAATTTCATTTGTATACATGTTTTGAAAATTTATAAAGTAAAATATCTAATTAAGCAACATCTGTAAACAGAGCACCAATACACAACACTTTATAGTGACACTCAGTCCTAGTACAATTACGGGTCAATAGAGACAAAACAGTACTTCTAATCACTAATTATGTTGTGTTCGCTCATACCATGGTTTATATAACTATCGAATACTGTATCTTCACAAGGGAATACGCGTGAGTTAAGAAATTAAGGATTATCTCCATCATGCGTAGCTCTGATCCTTTGACGTATTTGGCTCTATTCTTTGGCACCCTTTTTTCAGCTCTTCAAAGTTTATTTATTTAATTTAAATATTTCGGATCTCCGCGTTTCGGCATGAGCGTCACTGAAGAGTGACGCTCATTTTAATTTGTCGAAATGCGCAAAACTGGTACCGTATAAGGTTTACTTAAAGAACAATTATGATAATATGAACAATTTACATAATGTATATCGTTTCTGTTGTGATTTTTGTATTTGTAAAGTGATTAATTTTGCAACTTTTTTCCCGATTTCCCGTTCCGTTCCGCTGTATGTTCCGTTTTCCGTTTTAGCAACTATGCATGTAACCACTATTTATGGCTTATCAGTAAAGTTAACATGGATTAGATTTGTAAAACAAATTGGGAAGAAATTGCTGAAAACAATGCCTCTTCCTTTAGGATTTGATTTTATTGTCTATGATTTTAAGCCGGCCGGGCTCATTTCTCTTAGAACAATAGCTGGCTTTTGTCGCGATGTTCAACCGGATATGCTGCTGCTTCACACTTAAATTACATTTACGGTAAGAAATACAGTGCCAACTCAAAACCTTTGTTGAAACAACCCAAACACTAATTAAATGAAGTAAAGTAAACGGGAGAATTTTCTTAATAAACATTAATAGTAATGATTTTTCTCCCATTTCTTCAATTGGCATTGGATCGGGAGGCCCGGGTTCGATTCTCTTTCTCCGCGCCGCATCAATCCGAAGACGTAAACGTAGGTAGTGTTTTTTTCCTTTGCCAAGCGCTCGGCATTAGATGTGAAAGTTCACGGGTCTTTCGGATGAGACCTTAAAAACCAAGGTCCCTTGTCACGATAAAGAACCCTCATTGCTCAATGGCCCTGAGTGCCGAGTATAGGTTTAAACTTGAAGCCCTTCGCCGGCTTAAGGTAACGTCTCTATATGAGTGAAAAATTCTCGAATGGGACGTTAAACAACACACAGTCAATCTATTGATACTGTCACCCGCGTGGCGCAGTGGTTAAAGCGTTTGCTTTAGAGTCGCAGAGTAAGGAGTTGACCCATACATCGTGGGTTCTTTTCCCACTGCGGGACATGGAGACCGGTCCTTTATACGAGACCGTATAAACCGAGGCCCCATGTCACAGAAGGTGCTGGCACAAAAAAGATCCCTCACTGCTCAATGGCCCTGAGTGCCGAGTATAGGTATAAATTTGCAGCCCTCTACCGGCAAGTAGCGGCGTCTCCATATGAGTGAAAACTTCTCTAGAGGGACGTTAAACAACAAACAAACTTCCATCATGGATCTTTGGATCATGGCCCTTTCTGCATCACATTCTGTAAACTTTATTTTATTTAATATTTTTTGTTATTTGTCAAGAAAGCTTTTCTGATCACCTTTTGTCTTTCAAGAGGAGATAATTAGGAATAAGTGAAAATTTACTGGTATCTCTTTAAAAATATCTTCTAGCTTAATTCTCAAGAACTACTGGGCCAAAAAAGTTGAAACTTACACGAAACCTTCTTTACATAGTGTAGATTCGAATTTGTTCAGATCTTGATCCCCGGGGGTAGGATGGGGCCAAAATGGGGGGATCAAATTCTTACATGAATTTATAGGAAAAAATCTTCAGAAGTGCTCAAGAACAGAAAAGCGATGTTTAGTCATATTGATATGAACAGTTTCCATAAGAAACATCCTCAGGTTGTTTAGATTCAATTTTGTTCAAATCATGACCCCCTGGGGTAAGATGAGGGCATTATGCACTATCAGAGTTTAACGTAGGGATGTATAGGAAAACATTCTCTAAAATCTTTCTCTCAGGAACAGCAATCTCGTGTTTAGTCACCAGGCCCGTAGCAAACGGTTTCAAAAGTGGAAGAAGGGGGAGGGGGCAACTTCCCCAAAATATCTGACAATTAAAAAAAGGCCCCCTGCGTTGTACGGGTCTGGTCACATTGATAAGGAAGTTTCTTGAGGTAGTGTGGATTCAAGTTTGTTCAAATCGTGACCCTGAGGAGTAGGTTTTGTTACATCTATAAAAATCATGACAGCTGGGGGTAGGATGGCGTCACAATATAGTCACAAAAGTTTTACATAATGTATAATAGAAAAAAAATCTGCTGACCATATGACAGGGACATGTTGATTCAGGTGAGCGTTGTGGCCCATGGGCCTCTTGTTTTGTTTTATTCCATTGAAATATACTTTTTTTGTATTTTATATTCTTCCAGTTTCTGAACTTCATGTTATCTGTTATTACTTTGCATGTCTCATGAAAAACGGTCTTTATTTACTACTCTGTAAATGAGCCCAACTCTCTGTACTTCTGAGAACTTTGATTTACTTAGAGATTGTTTCCATTTTTATAACAGATTTACTATCTTATTTTAACAGGTAACTATATCCTGCTATTTCTGGTTATATTTTTGCTAATATTCCTTGGAATAACTTATCTAGTCATGCGTCGCAAAGAGACACAACCCATTTTATCAGGACAAGTCCAAAGCTCTGTTAAGTTCCATAGCAAAGTGGGTGACAGAACGGTAGGATTTCGCTTTATTAAATATGAACATTGACAGAAACACAGTCATTGATAGGATTGTTTCATCAAGATATTATTGTACTACATTCTCTTTACAGCATACTTCTGTACTCGATCAGATACATCCGAAAAATTTAAACAAAAAAATTGGAATTGTTAGCTTCAACACTAAGACACAAAAAGTCCACAAGGAAATGCTGCAGCGTGCTTTGAATTCAACTGATACAAATACTGAGGTAAATTTAAGTGTTCGTTAACATTTAAGTTTAAATATTGTTTGTAACAAGCACCTACAAGTCCTGCTTAGACTTTGACGATCAGTTCTTTCATTTGAATTCATTTGTATTCACAGATTGTTGCGGTTGTTGTAGACAGAGCAGATAAGATTCTGACGATACATCCTTCATGTTTAATGTTTATTTTTGTGGATAGAAATGATCGAAATATCATTCTTGAAGACCCAGACTCGGAGATTGGTGACCTTAGGCGACTCACAACACAAGGTGTTATGAAGATGGGATGTAAGTATTAAAAAGATTTAAAAAAAAACAAGATGTGTTTGTGAAACACTGATGCCCCTTATGGCAACTCGTATCAAAGGCAAAACTTTCTCAAAGGCAAATCAAATATGTTGGTACCCAAAGTAAGGTCTTGTCTCAAGGAATATACCTTTGAAATATGAAAACCCTAGCAGCAACCATTGAATAGATATGGAAAAGGTTAAAGTTTTTCAAAGTAAGTCAAAACATCATGGTAAATTTCAATTGGTCAAAATTAATGGTGCCCAGGTAAAGGCCTTATAACAAGAAATACACATGTGAAATATGAAAGCCCTGGCACCAACTGTTCAAAAGTTATGGCCAAAATTAAAGTCTTTCAAAAGTAGGTCAAATTCCAAGGTTAAAGGGACAAAGTTGTTGATATCCAAATGTAGGTCTTGTTACAAGAATTACATATGTGAAGTATGAAAGCCCTAGCACTAATTACTCAAAAGAAATGGCCAAGTTTAAAGTTTTGCAAAAGTAGGTCAAATTCCAAGGTCATGGTCAAAGGGTCAAAGTTTTCGGTATCTACAGGAAGGTCTTGTCACAACAATTACATATGTGAAGTATGAAAGTCCTAGCACTAACTGTTCAAATGTAATGGCTAAGTGTGAAGTTTTGCAAAAGTAGGTAAAACTCCAAGGTCAAGGTCAAAGGGTCAACGTTGTTGGTATCCAAAGGAAGACCTTGTCACAGGGATTATACATGTGAAGTATGAAAGCCCCAGCACCAACGGTTCAAAAGGTTATGGCCAAGGTTAACGTTTTTTTAAAAGTAGGTCAAACTCCAAGGTCAAGTTCAGAGGGTCATTGTTGTTGGTATCCGAAGGAAGGTCTTGTCACAAGGTATACACATTTGAAGTTTTAAAGCCCTAGTACAAACTATTCAAAAGTTATAACCAAGGTTAAAGTCTGGAAAAAAATTGAAAAAATGGGTCAAAGTCCAAGGTCAAAGGTCAAATTTTATAGTACCCAAAGAAAGGTCTTGTCACAAGGAATACAAATGTGAAATATGAAAGCCCTGGCAACAACCATGCAAAAGTTACGGCCAAGGTTAAAGTTTTTGCGGACATATAGACAGACAGACAGACACATAGACAGACAGAAAGACGGACGGACTGGGCAAAAACTATATGCCCCCGAATCTTCGATTACGGGGGCATACAAAGTTCCTGATGAGGTCTTGATTTCCTCTTGGTATAATAGTTGATATTTTAATTAAATGGACAAATAACAAAACTTTTCTTGTGCATTTTGTCCCGAGGTTCATCTGTAAATCATTTCTATGAAAATTACAATTGATGAAATATTATACTCAACATTAAAAAAAATATTCATTGTAAAAAAAATACTAAGAAAATATGGAAAATCCATTTATGATATGTGTATAGAGCTAGTGTTTCTTAAATAAAATATTTTGATTCTGATGTTGCTATCGCACAATTGTTTAATGTTGTCTCTGTTTTATTTACAGGTACCGTGGTGGTAGTCTATGTTAATGACAGAGAATCTCGGGATTTACATGGGCGTGACTTATATAATCCCTGCCTCCAGTCTGTCAAAAGACACCCAGTATTAAAGGAATTACAGGCAGAGGGGCGTGTCTTCTCTGTGATGGACAATTTCAGTCAAAATCAAAATAAACAGATTGATCAACTGCTGAAGAAATGCGGATTGTAATGTGTTTAAGATGGAATGATAAATAAAAACTATAAATTTGTCATTTCCTTCATTTCTCCATTTTTGACCCATCTCCAGTATCCTCCTGGTTTTCTTCTGTTTATGTTTCTCCCACCGACGTAAAAATGGAGGTCTGTACAGACACATAGAATGTAATGACTATGTTTCTTGTCAAAATGCCAGTGAACAGAATTACATATAGTAGTACAATGCTTTTATTTGACATAATATCAAATGTTGATTATGAAAATAAAATCTTTTCATATTCTTTCATGCATTTTCTAAAAAAAAAAAAAAAAAAAATTCAAAGTAAACATAAGCTAGTTTCCTTTTTAGACAAAACGGATGGCTTCCCCCTTTTAAATTAATAATATACCATGTCATCACTACATATCTTGAAGACTGTCTTTGAATTAGTATCTACTACAATGACCAACAACATTGATTAAACACTGGCTAAATTTTAATCAGCGGTACAAAGTTATTAACTCAACAATAACCTTTTCATAATTTCCACATTTTGTTGCCCATGCAGCACATTATGCTCTTAGATGAAATATGGAGATAACGAACAGTATTCAAGCTCAAAGTCTATTAACACATTACAAATTTGGAGCAGAGCAAACGCGGACCTCCAAAAATATCAGAGGTGAGATCAGGTGCCATGGAGGAGTGAGGATCCCCTGCCAACCGGTCCCACCCGCCGTGTGTTCCTTGTCATGATCGGGGAATAACGGAAAAATCTGTCGACAATTAGATCTGATGCGAATGGTGAATTAACGAAAAGGGATCAGTCTCATAAATCCAGAGAAATAAATGAATCATTAAGATGAAGAAACAGTTAAGATTTATTCAAATTTAAAGCACCAAAATTTGAATTGGAGGCAACTGAAATAATCACACTACCGCTTGAAAACGCGAATAAAAAAATCAAGATCAGTTTGTTGGTCATCGGCACAACATTCTCATGCTTGACATTCCAAGCCTGCGATTTTTTGGCATATTTATTAAATTTCATGCTAGTGCACCTTGATGATTGATTGATTGATTGTATGCTGTTTTACGTCCCATTCGAGAATTTTTCACTCATAGAGAGACGTCACCATAAACCGGTGAAGGGCTTCAAATTTTTTACCTTTACTCGGCACTTACGGTCATTGAGCGGTGAGGGATCTTTATCGTCCGAAATGTTATAAAAAAAAAAAGTTAATTTCGACAACCAAGGTGTGTCAGCACACTAAATTTTTAAATATATTCGTAAAAGTAGGGACAGCTTTAATATAGTTAAAAAATACTATTCACAGACATTTCAGCTGAACAACTAAATATTTTTGTATTTTTATTTTTATTGTTCCTCCTTCCATTAATTTTGTTAATCAATAAATGCAGATTTAGCAATATATATCTGCTGTTCATAATATTTAAGAATTCAGTGACTTATCTAATTAAGAAAAACACAACATTCATGCACCTGCTAGTACCTGAATTTCTATCAATTTTTGTTTCGTCAACATTGATTCGTCCAGAGTCTCAAATTTGGCGAGGTATGCCCCCCCCCCCATACGACTACAGCGGGCCTTTAAAAGAAGAGGTACTGTGAGAACTGTGCTCACAGAGTGATACCACCCACTCCCACATGAGTATAATGGCAAGGTGAAAGTTTTGCAATGGGAAATTCCAAACATCTATCCAATTAGAACATGAAATACGATGTGCACAATGACACTATGTAACACATATTCAGTGAAAATCTCATTAAATTACATTCAGTGGTATGGGGGGAGTTGCTAATGGGTACTTTCGATATTGAAAAGAATGGTACTGTCCCTGTTTTGCTATGGGAAATCCCCCCAAAAATCTGTCCGATCAAAAGGTAAAATAGGAGATCACAAAAGTACTATGTTATTAAGATTCTGTGAAAGTCTCATTAAATCTTATTCAGTGGTATAAGAGGAGTAGCGGATGAGTGATTGGTACCCCCAAGTTTATGGAAAGAATGGCCATGTTTTGCTATGGGAAACCCCAATTATCAGTCCGATCATAACTTAAAAAGAGGTTACAATGTTATAAAGATTCCAAGAAAGCCTCGTTAATTTTTATTTTGTGGTATAGGAGATGTGGATAAAGGAGTTCCATTATTATTGTAGATAGAATGGCAGTGTCCATGTTTTTCTATGGGAAACCTCAAATATTTGTCCGATCAAAACGTAAAATATGAGGTGCAAAGTGGCACAGTGTAATAAAGATTTGGTGAAAGTTTAATAAAATTGCATCTAGTGGTGTAAGAGTAGTTACGGATAAGGAATGGCTACCCCAAGTGATTCGGAAGTACAGAGGAAAATAAAGACCTACTGACGGAACGACGGACACCCCATTCACTGTATACCCCCTTTTGGATACCCCCATCACTGTTCATCCCCTTTTTCAATCGGGAGTTTGATAAAACCTTCGAACAACAATAGTGTGTTTTGTGCATGATGTTTGCTTACAAATGCCTCGTCTCCAGGAACTTTATCTTTGTTTATGTAATAACAGTTTCCCTCGTAAATTTGAAATGGAGATGAACATATGTAGGCTGTAAATATATATCTTTTTATTGTAGAACGAGGCACTTGAATTTTAGACAAGTATAGCTAAATGTTCAGCAAGATAGAATTATTCGGCTTTAGATATTGAATAACGTTTTATCATTTTCTAACTAGAGAGCTACAAAATACGCTTTTACTTTTTAATGACAATATTATTAAATTTATATGCACCGTGTAGTCACAGTCCTCAAAGATGAAAGAAAAATTGATTTCTTATCGGAAAATAAATATGGATTAGCCTCGTGATCAAGGACTTCATGGAAGATTTGACAGGTCTGGACGATTTCCATATATGGATGTCAAGAACGATAACTGAACGTTCCGCTTAAATTATAATCGCTAAATGCACACTTGTGTATGAATATTGAACGCAAGAAAGATAAGTTTGATCAGTATTAAACATTATACATGTACATTAAACATTATATTTATGCCCCCGTATCGCAGATTTAGGGGTAAGTAGTGTTTGCCCTGTCCTTCCGTCTGTTTGTCCGCAAAAACTTTCACATCGCCCATAACTTTTGATTGGTTGGAGCTATGGCTTTCATATTTCATATGTGTATTCCTTGTGACAAGACCTTTCTTTGAGTACCATCATATTTGACCTTTTGACCTTGACCTTAGAGTTTGACCCAGTTTTGCAAAATGTTATCGAACTTTAACCTTGGTCATAACTTTTGAAACGGTTGGTGCTAGGGCTTCATACTTCACATATGTAATCCTTGTGACAAGACCTTCCATTAGATACCAACAACTTTGACCCTTTGACTTTGACCTTGGAGTTTGACCTACTTTTGAAGAACTTTAACCTTGGCCATAACTTTTGAATGGTTGGTACTAGGGCTTTCATTCTTCACATATGTAGTCCTTGTGACAATACCTTCCTTTTGATATCAACAACTTGAACGGTTGGTGCTAGGGCTTCATACTTCACATATATAATCCTTGTAACAAGACCTTCCAATAGATATCAATAACTTTGACCCTCTGACCTTGATCTTGGAATTTGACCTACTTTTGGAAAACTTTAACCTTGGACATAACTTTTGAACAGTAGGTGCAAGGGCTTTCCTATTCAACATGTTTATTCCTTGTGGCAAGGCCTTCCTTTGGATACCAATAATTATAATCCATTGACCTTAACCTTGGAGTTTGACCTACTTTTGAAAAAACTTTAACCTTGGCCATAACTTTTGAACGCTTGGTGCTACGGCTTTCATATTTCACATGCGTATTTCTTGTGAGAAGGCCTTTCCTTGGGCACAATTAATTTTGATCATTTGACCTTGATGTTTGACTTGTTCTCCTGTAAATCATCCACTTCTGTACTGTATCTGAATGTATATTGTATTATATTGTATATACTGATAAGCTGTTAAGCTTAAAGTAACAATAAAGAAGAAGACTTCCTTTTGAAAAAAAACTTTAACCTTTTCCATATCTATTCAATGGTCGCTACTAGGGCTTTCATATTTCAAGGGTATATTCCTCGAGACAAGACCTTACTTTCGGTACCAACATATTTGATTTGCAATTAAGAAAGTTTAACCTTTGCTATAAGTTGCCATACGGGGGCATCAGTGTTTCACAAACACAATTTGTTTTCATCTGGTATTGGTTTTACTCAAACTCTTGCGTAAATCGTTATACAAATATATAAACACACTGTCAGGATCTGCCATTTTACAATACATGAGTCTGAGAATTAAATATTGTATTGGTACATGCAACAATATTTAGCCTCATAAGGGGGAAAATGTGAAGATGATTAATAGTGATCGATCTCGTAAATCTTATCACCATCAGAGTTGGGGTCAGGTGCACAGGAGGAGGAAGACTCCTGCACTGACAAGGCAGACTGGGCAATCACTGTCAAGGCATATTTGGCAATCACTGACAAGTCAGACTGGGCAATCACTGACAAGTCAGACTGGGCAATCACTGACAAGTCAGACTCGGCAATCCGCAGTCAGCATTAAAAAATGGCATAACATGTACAGCTGGTATGAAACATACCAGCGAAAACATGAAAGTAGAAGATTGCATGGATACCAGAATTGTTTTGAATCTACCCAAAATCTAAATATGGAGATGGTATGGAAATTTAAAAATATGGAAAGAAAAATCCTAATAATCTGTAGTAACGAGGATTTCTTCAAAATCCATCACATTATAAAACTGTAAATAACTATAAATAAATTCAATTAATTAGCTGAGATCTTTTTATGTGTTTTTTTTATTACTTCGAAAAAGGGTTTTATGAAATGCATGATATGTTTACTAGTCAATAATAGAAATGACATACTTACGTACATGTACAACCTTATTAATCTCAATAAATACAAGTGAAATTTTACACTGATTAATATATATACGCAGGAAAGAAACAACATATGGTTCAAATCCGGTAAACACATATAAAACATTTCATTTTATAGCTTTCTAATACGTTCTATTTCCATTAGTGAACTCTTAAGGGGCGCGTTTGGTCGTCTGACTGGGACAGCATGGCGTGGCGGATAATACAAAACATGCCAATCTCAATCCAATTTTAAATGTTAAATGTATTTGTCATTCCAATTAAAGAATAGAACAACTAAAAGACATGTAAGAGAGCGAGAACCCTAAATTTATCATCCATTAATAAAAAATACGACATTTCCGAGACATGTGTATTGTATTTAGATGTACCATACGATAAATAGATACATACGATCAACAATAGATATAAATTGATATCGTTGTCATTCCTACTCTTGATGTATATAAAGTCCACAACAATAAAATATTTCATTTGCATTTTCTTAGGAACTATTCATCGACATTCAACATATTGTTTACATGTTTATGTTACGTTTGTCCCAGAAATCCCGCGAGATTTGTACTTTTTCCGACTTTTTCACGAAAGAGCGACTAAGAAGTATAACTCTTCCGTAGTGGAAATAGAACGTATTGGAATGCTAGGATACCTTTCAAGCATAAATATTCAGCATCCGTTTGAAGAATGCAATGTGAGAGCAGCAGACGTGCTCAAAAGCCAAAATTAAACAATGCATAAAAATTGTGTCAGAATGGATAAAGTGTCTTGGAAATATATTGAAGAAACCGTATTAGAAAGTTAAAAAGCAATATGCGAACACCTGTCCTCACGATAATCAAAAACTAGACTTTTTGATACCGCTTCACAGACAACTGCTTCTTCAATAAAAATGGAACACTGAAATTTTCTTGTGATTGGTCAACAACAAAATTATTTTGTTGAAAATCACTCTGATTCTCTCTACACAAAAGTACCTGAGATTGATATTCACCCTCAAGGATACTATCAAAAGGATGCTAGAGTTCCTCTTTGACAATATTTATGCAATCTTCGGAGACCAGGTCTTCCAACAAACTGTTGGAATTTCGATATGCTCTAATTAGGCTCCTTTATTGGCTGATTTGTTGTTAGATTCCTATATAACGCAGAATTTATTCAAAAACTTCAACATGAGAAGAAGAAAACACTTGCTACGTCCTTCAAATCAACATTCAGATATGTCGACGACGTTTTATCGATTAACAGTAGTGAGCTCAATTCACAATACAACAATACACAATACAACCCATTGAACTTGAAATAAAAATTACCACAGAGTCTGCCACATCTGTTTCATACTAAGTATTTAGATGTTTTTACTGACTATAATAGACGATAAGGGCCAGCTAACAACATAATTGTGTGATAAACGATTTGACTTTGAACAGCGTTTTCATCGTCAACTTTTCTTGTATTAGTAATATGCCAGTTTCACCTGCATATGGTGTATATACTCAAGATCATGCTCCGAGTTCGATTAATTTTTAAACCGAGGCTGGCTACTGACATATAAGTTGATGTTACAGTTATAATTTTATAAGAAAATATATATAAACATATAATTATACATTACAATATAATTATAATAATTATACTTATTGTTATAATGACCTTGACATAACCTTTTCACTGGGTTGTATTTTAGCGGACGTGTTTCTTAATAATTGTTAGGCCTTTGTTTTTATACTGAATTTGACTACGGAATGTTACGTCTACCTGATCAAAACATAAGGACTCACATCAGATGTGACCGGTCAACAGGGGATGCTTACTCCTCCTAGGCACCTGGTCCATCTCTGGAATTTCTGGGGGTCCGTGTTTTATGCCTGTTCACAGATTTGTATTGTTTGTAGATTTTTTGAGATCGATCACTGTTCGCGAATCCATAGGATGCCATTATTATTTGAAATGATTAAAAATGTATTTAAAAAATTACCATATATTATTTGAAAAATTAGAATTTATTAAATGCTTTTCCCGTTAATCCCGTCTAAGTTTCGTACACAATGAATTGATGTTCATCCTGGTTTAATAAACTAGTATTTTATTTTAATTCTCACCAATAATTTCAACATTAATAACTTAAATGATCACTATATGATTATAATGTTCATCATTACCACTATTTAAGTAAATATATTCCAAGTTTAACATGCTCAAATAAAATATTTTCTAATTCCTAGAGGTTCACAATAGTATAGCCGTGTATGGTAATAATTATTCAACCGTAGCACGTAACTATTCCTTTGATCGAAGTTAGATCAGTTTCATGAATGAAAACTTACATTTAATTACTTATCATAATTGAGAAACGTACCTTTTGGTCTTTAAAAGTGTTTGGTGTAAATGTACATTTATGAAAAATTATGATTTGTTAAATATTAACTTACGAAAAGCCCTTTGATCCATAAAAGTGCTTAAATTATCATGCGAGATGATTTGTAGATAAATGAATATGGAATTACATAAACTTCCTTTATCGTTTGTATCGCATGAAACCTGTTTTACAGTTTTAGACCTATCCAAATTTTACGATATTGAAACGCAAGGACCTGGACCATTATTGAGCGTCGGGTTTGGGATTTAACTTTTAAACCGAAAGTAAAACTTTTTCGTTGTTTCACTAGTTGCCAACTCAGAACTCTTTTGTTTGTTCGCTTATAATTTATAAGCAATGAATTCGTGATACAATAACAAGAAATGGAATTGTGTTACTAAATTCCGTGATCCGTCTGTAGATGGATTTAATCTGAAATTATACTTTCATTTTTTCCTGCGTATGTTTGTGAAAACTGTTGTTGCAATGGCGTGGACGGCAAATTTCATTAAAACTACTTTCTTTCTGTGCCTAACAGTCAGGTAATGGCGTGAAAATCTCATGTAATATTTTAAAAGCAGAAACTGTTAAGAATCACCATATTTGACTTATGAAACTCATTTTTGATAACATGTAAAAAATATGATCATCAAAGAAAAGAAATTTTTCAGTCAAAGGTAAATTTCCAAATTTCTCGGCATTAGATGATGAACAAAAACTTGTTTGGTTACTCAATACTGAAGACAAAGAAACTCTTAATTCTGTGGGCAAATTCATAAAAGATAACATGTTGTAGTAGTCATACACTTTTATGTATACAGTATTCCCTTTAACTGAAATACATGTAGTACAATATTATTGTTGAAATGAGCAATGTCATTTACAAATTGTTATATTATCCTTGGCACATCTTTTCTTTATTATTGTAATAATTTCATACTTATCTGTTTCGGGCTCTAAAAATGTAACTAGTTAAAAAATCACCGAATCCACATTCTTTTCTTAAAAGTCCATCTGAAATGCAATTTTGTTCCCTTGCTCGTTGATATATTTTCGAGCGATGTTTGAAAATCTTGTCGGAGTCATATTCGCTGGCCAAACACTTTGCTTTAGTGACTGCACATTTTAAGGCCACTAAAAAAAAACTGAGACTCCCAACTGACATGTTTTCTCTTATATTACACTTTTGAAAAAATAATCCCTTTCTAAACATTGCTTAAATTGACATAGTATATATATAAATTATATAAGTGCAACTGATTAAAACATGAACGAATCGCTGGTATTCTGTGATGAAATATCATAATATTTTAAAATATATCTCCATGCCATATTTCCAAATCTAGTTTACGACTACATGTAAAATGCATTTATTTACAGCTCGATTGTAAATTGCAAAAGGTCCAGTGGCTGTCACACAAAACCCAGAAAGGATATTTATTCTGCTGAAGAGAAATGTTCATTTGCAAAACACAGTCGTGAACAGAAAAATGTTAGACTCGCAGAAATGGAAAACAAGCTGAACAATTTACAAAGAGACTTGGAGAACACGGGAAAGGAGTGTGATTTAAGAAGTGAAAGCAATAAACAGCAATTAGAACAAAAAATGGTTTCTTTAGAAAGTGCACTGAACGAAGAAAAACGAAATACCATAGAAATTCAGAACAATATCAGGCGGTTCGAAGAGATGTTGAAGACTTACCAACACACGGGCCAAAGAACCAGAGATATGAGTGATAAATTAAACTTAAATATAACTCTTCTTCATTCCAAGACTTTAGAATTGGAGAAAGAATTCACGGAGCGCTTAGGTGATTAATTTCAACCAATAACATTTACATAGAGAATAATACATACCCTTTTACATATCACATCCTGTATCAGCCCGAGATACCAATATCAGCCAGATGGCCGAAGGTCCGAGGGCTGATACAGGATGTGATGTGGAAAAGGGTATGTTTTATTATGTTTATTACATACTTAGTAATAATTAAAATACAGCACAAATCAACTTGAGAAAAAACAAATAAATAATCATGCACTGACTACTGACATGTACGTATCTTATTGTATCAAAGAACAGTAATTTGAAATTAAAAGAATGTGAACCTAAAATATGTGCATTTTATTTTAAGTACTTTTTTTAAAGATTTAATTTACAAGGGGTGTGATATTAATCCATATCAGCCCCGCAGATCCATATCAGCTCTGCAGGGCTGATACGGCTATTGTGATGTCAGGCATATCGCGTGTGCAAAAATCCAGTATTTATTTCTAAGTATGTAATAAATTTATATATTTGTTTTTGAAAAACTTATAAACGTAAATTGCGTTAAAAGTGATACCTGTATTAAATTACAAGTAAATAAGTACATTGTATTCATACAACATAAAAAATCATCTTTTTTTTTAAAGATCAAAGTTCGCAAGCAAACAATAAACTGAAGGATCGTATAGGTAATTTACAAAATATCGTCGCCGACAATGGACATACAATCAAAATACAACAAGAACTGATAGAAAGTTTACAGAAGAAAAACATGGAGATGCGAGAAAGCTTAGCTCACCTGACGGGTAATTTATCGGAGGTGAGAAAGACTGCAGAGTATTTTGGAGGTAAAATTCCAGACTTGGATAGTAAGCTCACATTGAATGATCTCAACATACAGGAAATGGTCGCATGTGAGTTTTAGTTTCTAACACGATAAATTGAATATCTCACTCTTAATGTAGATTGTAAAAACTTTACTTTTCAAAAAATAACTGACAATTGTTTTTTTTTAAATACTATTTTAGATGGGAGATTTGTTTTTGTAATTTTGGTGTTGTTCATGGTAATTGTATATGCGTACAGACGAAGAATGTATCAAGAAAGAGAGGCAAAAGAGTCAGCTCCACAAAACAACCCCGTCCCGTTAGAACCAACACCAGGGCAATACAAGGCGGATCCTCGTAGAATGGTTAAGGTATATTCGCCAGTTTTACATGTACCTCTTGTGAATTTAGCTTTTCAATCTCATATTCTTCAGAACTTTTTACACCCACGATAATATTTAATTTTATTAAATAATATGTTTATTGTAAGCAAATATAGCATTCTTTAAACAAAATCATGTACAGATATAATTAAGGACATATGCAACGTAGTTTGACCTTTATTGTCCTTTTCCCTGGAGTTGAAGAGTTCCAATACTTAAAGGAAATGCGTGCTACATTTTAATGTCTATATATGCTGCTGTACATTTCTCCTAAAACAAATTTGGATAAACAAAACATCTAGAATATATATTTAGTAATTTTTGTGTATTTTTTTTGATTTATACAAGAATTTTCATCTATTGATACATTTTCAAAACCCCTGGTAATGCATGCTGATTTTTTGTCTACGAACATCTGATGGCACTATAATCTTAAATTAAGAATATCTTGAAAAAATATCAGTAGGTAAGGTACGTTGCGTATGTCCTTAAATCTGAGAATAAATATTTTAGCACACTTCAAAAGAGTTTCCGGTCTCTAGGAGACTAGAAAATTCTGTGGGTATTGTAAGCTTCGGTGAGTCCGGAAGTGACGTCCATAGAGAAATCATTGACTCTGTTATATCGAAAGCCAAGATTTCAGTAAGGGTGAGTCCCATTCATATGAATGCTAGAATTCTGATGTCGGTAGTTTACAATCTCACATAATAATTTACAATTTAGGTATTTTGATAGACGTTTTACAACTTTATTTTAAGATTAGACATACCAAAGTGAAACAAGAGGACGAAATCTCGATGATTCCTCCATCAAAGATAGTTTTTGTTTTTGTGGACGCCAATAGCCGCCATATTATCCTGGAGAACCCGGATCAGGAGATCGGTGATTTCCGGAGACAGACCACCGAGGCGATTCTCGGAATGGGATGTAAGTAAACAAACCAAATACACTGATAAATACAGAACATTTACTACATAATTCTGCAAAAACCGTATATATACAAGATGGAAGATTGGAAATTCTGTCCATAAAAAGATTAGTCGATGTAACCTTGTTGAATATAATCTCTGTTATTCTGTTTTTAATAAATTTGGCCCTTTTAGAAATGATGCATCTGTATAAGAAATATTTTTGCCTTAGTTTTAAGGAGGAAGTGAATTGAAAGGGGCTTTTATAAAACTTTGAAATTTGCAGGTGACGTATTTGTGTTATACGTCAGGGATGAGGGAGTTCCGGGAGAATCTCTTTACCACAATAGACTGACCTCCATAGAACGTCATCAACTTCTGTCGTCACTGAAGTCAAAGAACCGTGTCCTTAGTCTGAATCTCGCTCTCTCTGATTATCAGAAAAGGTTTCTTACAGAAGAACTTCAGAAGACCTTTAATTAAGATATTGTCATACTCTATATTGATAATATACTCTTGCAAAGGAGTTTGTACTAATACCGGTGATGAGTGTCTGAATTGGTTTTTTTTTTTTTGCAACATACATCATGATACATGTATGTTTTGATTCCTGCTTTATTTTTTTTTAAGTTTTAACAAACATGTACTGCTAACAATCACTGTGGTATTTTGTGATAAATTAAATCGTGTTTTACTACATCTTTGTCTTTTGTATAAATAAAAAAAGAACGGATATTTCATATACATAAAATGTACTAAATGCAAAAGTTGTAAGATGAATGCAGGTCCCGGTGATTTTAGGAAATCGGTAGCCTTTTTATACTCGTACGCCTGTCTTTTGATGGAACATCACGGTACGGACGTTCCCGTCCATCTATCTGTTAGCTTATGCAAATTTAGTTAATAACTTTTACTGTGAGACCTATAATCAAGTTGATACATGTGTCGCAACCCAAAGTAGGTCTTAATAACCTTAATTTAGAAATGTTATGGTTATCATAGCCGAATTGTTTCCGTAGCCCGCATCATACGTTGTACAGTGTAGCCCGCATCATACGTTGTACAGTGTAGCCCGCATCATACGTTGTAAAGTGTAGCCCGCATCATACGTTGTATAATGTGAGATCTATGACCATCAAACCAGTTCATTTGATGTATCTTGGGGGAAGGTTTGTCATGACCCATATCAAGGTCACATTAACCTAATTCTGAAATTCCACAGGTACATGGTCTACATGTCCTTAGTCAAATCATATTCGGATCAGATCTTGTAAAACTTAGAATCATCAGGTATGTCGTGACCCAAACGTTAGAATCATCATGTCGTGACCCAAACGTAGGTCATAACGACCTCGTTTTGAAATTCTTTAGCTATTATTTCTGGGTCATATCAGCCTAGGGCTCAGACATTGTCAGTTGACGAATCTTGAATTGTGGTGTTTGACGTATCAGCCTAGGACTATCAAACATTCAGTTGACGCATTTTGTGTGAAGGGTGTTGGACGTATTAGTCTTGGACTATCAAACATTCAGTTGACGCATCTTGTGTAAAAGGGTGTTTGACGTATCAGTCTATGACTATCAAACATTCGGTTGACGCATCTTGTGTGAAGGGCGTTTAAAGCTAAAGAGGGTTACTTTGGCTCCCTTTTGCATTACTGGCTATGTGTTTAAAAATAACTTCCGGTTTGTTACGTTATCTTTATTCCAGTGTGGTTGCAAATGACAGGGACACACCTTGTGTATATCTACATGTAAATAAATATGCAACATGGAGTTGCAGATTGAGGTATTTTGTACCCTATCAATGGATGTTTTTGGTGAGGGAAAAGAATGCTTCAAGCCATCATAGACTGTACAAAGTCGAAATATTATAGAGCCAATTAAGCTAAAATAAAATTACTTGTATATCAGTTACAGTTCAGTTGGATATTGCAATTGGATATACAATATAACGCTTACTTTCAGTTTATTTATTGCTATAAGCAATATAACATGAAGAAGTAAAATAAGTTAAAACTTAAAGGTTTTGAGCAATTTTTGGTTTACTATACATACATCTAGTTAACAATGTTAAAGTAATCTGTGTCATTTGATACACATCGTCATTTCATTTACTGCGCAACCTAAAGCCGCAGACCGGAAGTATGCTGTTGGCGTTGGCTTCACCTCGGTGCAGGCAGAACATGTACATGTATGATCAATGAAGATAGTAAATGATTCCCGAGTAATAATATATAGAACTATACAATCATAAGTTTATTTTGATTAGCTAAACCATTTCCAGGCGTAAGCCCTCGTCATATCTATCTGTGTGTTTCATTTTTACGAAAAACATGGTGTCGATGAGAAGAACACACGCGGTGAGATACATGACTCCAATCGGTATTAAACTGGCAATGATAGAGGTATAGAACCAGGCTGGAAAAAATATAGTTGACTGAATTATCTCAAATGCAAATCTAGGCACACTTGAGGTCAATTTTTTATAGCAAAAAGAATTAGAAAGTGAAAGTGTAAAAAGAGCCTGCTAGATTTAAACCTGAAATGTACTCTAGATAGACACATTCATTGAATCAATCTTACAGTAGTCTTTTTTGGGGTCTAACTCTTAAGGATTGAGTGTTTACAAAATATCCAGTAAGATTTACTCGAGCTCTAACAATTGATTACATACTTGGTGGTTTGTATAAAAACTTTTCTTTGATCTGCTCCACGTCGATCTTCAGTATACCCTTAACTGTCCCATACCCGTCCTCACAGCACACAGTCAACATATAGGAGTTCCACGAGTTGTAGTCAAAGACTGGCTTCTCCGTGGTGTATAAGAGAAAGTTTGTATTGTTGATAAGTCTAATCTCAAAGTTCTGGGTCTGGGGCCGAACGCTTTCTAAGGTACAGCAGACTGGGTCAGGGGGCACTGTCGGGTCATAAACAGCCACTGGGTACACAAAAACATTACCCCCAGTGTTCTCCAAAAGCGACAGCTCTTTAGGGAAATTTGTAATGATTGGAGGCTATAAAAGAAGTCAAAATCTTCAGATTATATTAAGATTTCAAATGTTTTGAGCTTCAAAGAGGAGTAAACGTTAAAGCACAAGAACTCTTGACTACAGTAAACATGGCTGATGACCTCATGTGTGGTAGGAACAATGAAAATTAAATATGGTATACATAGGAATTTACCCCATTAAAGGTTTCCACCGAGAAGGTAGTGGACGCGGTCCAGCGACAGGTGTCCACCGCCCTAAGAACCGCTTTGTATCCTGCCATTCCCTGGGCGGATTCTGACGGCTCTAACTGTCTGGCCACTTGTATAAAACCTTCAAGAAAAAACAGCAACACTTAATCATGTATTTATTTTTCCTTTTATTTGTTAATTTATACATTTATTTTCCTGACAAAGAATGCCATAAAACTGATCAGACAATTGATTTTATTACATTAGCATATATATAGCTACATGTACCTATAGGAAACTAGAAACTAGAACAATAATAATAAATATACATACTATAGGATTCGTTGAGGTCAATATAAGCGTTTGGTTGTTGCCATGTCAGCGTGATATTTTCTTTGTAATCTACACCTGTCAATTCATACGATGAAAAACTGGTTCCTATTGGCCAATGATCTGCAGCGGCAGTCAGGTAGAGCGACTCGACAAACTGCACCTGAGTATCTGACAGGAAGTAATCCGAGTTAGTGATGTTGTACTGTTAGTGTACTTAAATAAAATTACGCTACAAATCCAAGCAATCTTTTTAGCCGTTAATACTTCATATATACTCACTATTATTTGCATATACTTTTAAAGTATATCCTCTATTAGTTAATTGTGTGACATTTTCATTGGTTTCATTGTCGTATCTAACCGACCAATCAAATTGCATGTATTCATAGATATCATCTGATTGGATGGTAGCGTAGATATTCTGAGGACAGAATCGGTCTTTTAGAAGGTCACATGGCTGATAAGATATAATATTCTGTGTCGACACTCGCCTGAAAATAACAAACCATCAAAGAATTGAAGTCCTGTTATCGCTTTCCAGAATCTTTGTGGATGTACAAGGATGAGACAAAGTAACAACCCATTCAACAAAACTCAAGACAAAAACAATATTCGACTCACAATATAATAGCAAGGGTTGTCTTTGTCGTGCCAACACCTTTTTATGGTAAGAAACCTAAGTTTCAACATTTAATCCTAATGCCAATCTGATATATGATTTGGAGTAGAAATGTTTTTTTCCTGCATGTAACCTCTCTCTCTCTTTCTCTCTTCCACATTTCCAATGACAACCACTTTTGTAATATTTAAAGAGTTTTTGTCAAGGAATTTGATTTCAGAATAAGTAATTACAGAATTTGTTCTTTCTTGTATATTCACTGTCGATTATTTTTAACCTACATACCGGTATTACATGATAAAGTTCATAGTTACCATCCGATCCTGTCATGCTCTACAATGGAAATTCTCTCTTCCTCTGGTACTGTGAAGTTGATGGACTTTATGGTGCCATTTAAATCAGATGCTGAAATGAATCATCAACTAGGGAGGGGATAATCAAATCAAGGTAATGTTAAACATAAAAATTCAAATGACATCATTAATTTTAATTCAGTTCAAGGTCACTATACAATCCACCTAACGACACTCTGGAAGAGAAATAAAAATTAAATTGGGTGTATTCCAGATATGAATTAATACCATGCATGTTCTGTTTTTGTCCTTGATTTTTGAGTTGCATGAAAGCCTTAGTTCAAAATCACCCAGGAAACTTTATGAATGAAGTGTGAATTGCTCTTGGTCTCGGAAGAGAGACCATGTTCCAGTATAACATAGATCTGTGAGAAAGGAACTTTCTTCAACAATACAACACATTCTTTACCCTAGTGTGCTATATATGGGTGAAGTATAAATGATATCTGGCAAGGGGAGAAATCTTGACAGATAAGTCAGGGGGACAAAGGGACCTTTACGGTGCCCACAGAGAGATGCCTTTATTGAATTACCTATAACCTCTACAACATTTATGCCTTTGAGTTCGTACGTGTTTCCCGACTTCTTGGACCAGACCATGAATTCTACCTTTCCTACAGCACAAGGGTAGAATTCCCAGGCGGAAATTACACCACAGCAATTAATCTGGAAGAGCGGATCGTCCATCAAATACATCACACCTACAGTAATAATATGACTTTTTTATTTATTGTAAACCCTCATTTATACGTAAATATACAAGAAAATTAAAAAAAGTATGTAAAAGAACAAGAGACTCATTGCCACATGGCTCTTCTGAGTCCCCTTCAAATGGAACCCACTATTGGTTTTATAACCTTAAAAGTCTGTGGTTTCAACAAATTTAATCTATAATATACTGATATTTGAGATCTTATATATACATATATCAACTTTTTTGTTCTTGAGAAATTCTACATTTCCCGGTATTTACTTAGATTTCTTAGCTTAGTAGAGTTTTGATTGAGATGGTCTTTTTTTTACTATTCATCATTCATTGTCGCTGGGATGGGACATGACTATTCATCTAGAAATATACATGTAAGACCGTCGCCCAAAGCTGTACAATGTTAATTTCAAACTTATCTCGTATCTTAAGGGAAGGAGTCGAAAATGTGAAAAATTAAGAAAAAAGACAGACGGACGACGGACAAACTAGATCAGAAAAGTCCAAAGGTTGTAAAACCTTAATTTACCGATTTCGGTTTCACAGACTTCAGTGGTAGCAGTTGCCTGAGCCGGGTCTTCAAAGTATAAAAAATTAGGTCGGAAACAATCTGCAAGTATACCATAAAACTTTAAACAACCAATAACGGTCAATATTTTAGGACACTTTCTTTAATAGTATACATTTATTGACTGAGTTCGAGGGCAAAATGCGTTTTGTCGGACCCAAGAACCAAACTGTTTGCCTGAGGCCGTTAGGCCGAAGGCAAACAGTTTGGTTCGAGGGGTCGACAAAACGCATTTTGCCCGATCGAGAACACAGTCAATAAATGTTTTGTTATACCTTTTATTTATTTATTTATTTATTTTTTTTTTTTTTTGGACATACATTTATGTCGAACACCAACGAAGGCAAATGAGATTTAGCTGACCCCGCCCATTATGTGACGTAAGCGGTCCAACATCTCATCGACAGGTCCAATATCTCACTCCGCGGTCAAACCTCGATTTTTTTTTTATGCTCGCTCGTAAAACATTGGACATGTTAGACTTTTATAAGTATTGATTTATATAGGAACACATTTTTAAAGGTATAACAATATAAAATATTGCCGAAAACAACGAGATCATGTAGACCTAGAATCCCTCAAAGACAAAATAAATAGATGTATGGATTGTTACATATATTTTTGGAATTCTTTTAGTTGTGAACGATGCAAACATTTATATCAAAACTCTTAAATATTAAGAATTTGTAGACTTTTAAGCAAGGTGAAGAGGATGACGAGAAAAGAGTTGCAAGCCTTCTCTCTTTTTATGTATCAGTCGAAAACGATATACATATACTTAAAAACAGCTTATTGAGACAAAAGGGTTACATCATCGATATCATGTAGTGCATATTAGAATACAAAAATAGGAAAAAGGTGTGTCGACCCCAGTTTTAAAAAGAAAAAAAAATGGAAGGGAGATCCAGCCCCACATGCAGTACCTGTTGTCTAACCGGCATTTTATTGCATTATTACTTACAGTATTTAGATTGAGCAGGATCCACTGTAGGACAACCAGAGAACTTTTGGTAAAAAGCTTCTGCCTCGCTCTCTGAATCTAAACTCGCCCATGTACTCCCGGTGTAAAAGCCCCCGTCGGACCCCACGATATTGGCCACTTGACCAGTGGCGCTGCGCACCCCGATTGCCCAGAAATAATTTTCACCAGCGTTTCGCAAGTTCAACGCAGTATTATAAAGTTTGTTATTGTTTAACTCCTCACTAAAAATAGAATCTGTCGTGAAAAAGTAGATGTTGGGAGCGTCAGAGCGGTCACCACTACTTGAAACGAAGTGCTTTTGGGCCTCCTCAATGCCCATGTGTATATAATCCGTGTCGTTTTCGTAGATCCAAGAATTCCTTGAGGGACTTACACTGTTGATTTGATTTTGGATACTGGAAGTTGTAGTGTGATCGTCTAAATCAAACCTATGAAGAGCGTTTTCATGATAGGTGACAAGGCCTATTCTTATCCCATTGTCTTTGTTAATGTAAAGTTTTCCTACTATTCTGCTGAGGACAGCCTTTTGGGTGTTAAAGTCGTTATATTGATGATCAGTGCTGTAAGAATCTTCCATGATGAAATATATGTCCGCTCTCTCGAACGGTCGGCACCAAGACTCTGCAAGAAATGAAATTTTTTCTTATCATTACTCTATGCCTGGCTTAAAATGTACATCTGTTGGTGTTATTGCATCGTCGGAAACCCACGGTCGGTCTCGCTTCTCTTAGGTAAGGGAAGCGAGACCGACCGTGGGTTTCCGACGATGGTGTAATTGTTTAGATGTTAAAAGGATCACAGGTCTTGAATCTTAGAACGTCCTCTCCTTTATGACAACTAATTGCATAAAATATGTTCAAAAAAATTAAATACATTGCATGGGACGAAAGGTCAAATTTCATTTTCGTAAATACTAATCGAGTTATCTCCCCATAATGAACTAGAAGTTTTGAAAGGAATACGTGTCGCCTGCTCTATAAAATCATTAAAATTAATGTAAATAAATCTAAGAGAAATGTGATATTTATTTGCTACTGGCATTATAGTTCATGCATTTGCCTGCAAAGAAAAAAAAATCCACTTTCAAAAACGATGACCGTTCACGGTGGCTCAGTCGGAAGAGCGCCCGCTCCGTGATCGGGAGGTCGTGAGTTCCAGCCGCGACTGACCTAAGTCGATAAACAGGAATAGATATGGGTTACCCCATACCCAAGATATTCGACTTTTAATTTATTCGAATTTTCATTGTGCTCAGATGATTTCTAATAAAAAAAAAGTATTTACTGACAAAACGTCAGAGATACTCAAGCTGTAGAAAGTCATAATAAGAGTGCCATAAGTATCCTAAAACGACAAAATATTTAGGCTACTGAGTTTCAACATCTTTTGTTGAATAAAATATGCATGTACTAGGAAACAAACTGCATGTACATATATAACGTTAGATGCATGTAGTGACTATCACAAAGTTGCACATGCCTAAAAAATAGTTAAAATTTCACATAGAACATAGACTAAATATAATTAATCGTATAATTTTAAAAATGTATTTAACACCTCACTCATTTTCAGGAACATTTAATCCAAATAGCATGTTACAGGCCTGTAGCAACGTTTTCAAAGTGAAGGGGGGGGGGGGGGGCTCCGAAAAAATCCCGCGTACTTTGGGCCTGTGCTACATGTGTATACCATCTAACTTTCCAATGATATAATCTTCTGTAAAAAAAAATCCAAAACAAGTCCAAGCCGTTATGGATTATCAAAGATAGCCGAATTTTTTTAAATAGCAAAACTATAGATCTATCCTGGATAGATTTTAATTTATTTTTTAATTTTGTGCTATTAAATTACTATCACCCATAGTATAAGCAGATGTTAAAGATGGTCAACATGTCACCTTTTAGAATAAATGAACTTGTAATCAATGAACTTGTCCAGAGATGCATTGACGGCCGTTGTTAAACGCAAAGGAAAGCGCGAGATCGGTTGCGGCTATGGAGCATCACTGAATATTCCTTCGTCATAGAATAAAATCCGACATTTAACACTTAATATAGATTCTGATTAAACAGATATTTTGAAGATAAACTTAGTATATTTTCGGCGGTGCCCGGTTTGGACAAATTATATATTTTACTTGTTTTATCTGCTAAATACCTAGAAGAAGAGAAGATTTTCCAAGAATGAATGCACTTTCACTATCTAATCAATAGAGTCCCCCTTCCGTAGGACCCCTCACCCTGGGGCCACAAATTTTACAATTTTGGGAAAAGAATCCTCGATCATCATAACCACGCACCTAGTTAATCTACTTTATATACAGGGGAGAAGAAGATTTTTAAAGAATTTATGCATCTTCCCTATATGGTCATTAGAGCTCCACCCTAACTCCAGAACCCCTGACCCAGGGGCCAGGAAATTCACAAGTATCTTAATGCTTATTACAATCATGCCAACAATTTGTCTGCTTGATTTCCAGGAGTAAAGAAGAAGATTTTTAAAGAATGCAATCATTTTGATGGTTTGGCCCCGCCCTTAAGGACCCAGGGGGCAGGAACTTTAAATTCACAATTTTTGTTCCCCTTCACCCATAGATGTTATATGCCGAAATGGTTCAGCAGTCGCAGAGAAGAAGCTGAAATTGTTCAAATGCTAACGCACGACGACGGACGAAAACGGATAGCAATAGGTCACCTTAGTGACTCAGGTGACAGAATAAAGGGAGTACATGAGCTACCTAACATGTAAGTGAGTATACTAATAAACCAGATGTCTCTGAGGAGAATGTAGCTCTTTGAAGAAACGTAATTGGGTATATAACCTTTGTGTTTTATTTAATCTTATGTGAAATTAAATCATTCTGATAGGAGGTACAAGTAAAATAATGTTTTTGATTTCTAAGTGATGAAATATAGATCATTCCTTTTAGTAAAATTGGAAAATAAAAACTTATTTTGTGTATTTACATGTCTTTTAAGGACGATGTTTATTGATATGAGCTAATTTGTCGTTATACCTTTGAAAATAGTTTTCTATGAAAATGTAAAATTAAAAAAAAATGTTGGATTGGTCGGTGAGATGTTGGACCGTGACTCCGCTACATGTTTTTTACGTCACACTTGATATTAATTTGGCCATCTTAGGCGGGAAATTGACACGAGCCGAAGTGACAGAGTTAAATCTGAATTGTGATTAAATATTGTCATGTGCATCGCAAAGATTAGAAACAGTGCAAGATTTTTATAGGAATGAAATATGGAGATAACGAACAGTAATCGAGCTCAAAAATCTATAAAACCAATACAGATCGAGAGCAGAGCAACACGGAGCTCAAAAAAAAAAAAAAAAAAAAAAAAAAAAAAAAAAAAATCAGAGGTGGGATCAGATGTCATGGAGGAGTAAACATCTCCTGTCGATCGGTCACAAGGAAACGATTTTAAAGATCAAATCATTGATATAAATTGGGTTTTTAGGCAGAATGCAATGGTCTCAGGCAATAATTACATTTTGATTACGGGTATGACAAAACGCATCTTGGTCCCGAGCCCAGTCAATAAATGTGGGAAACATGCCAAAATGAGAGAAGACAAGAATTCAGAGCGTGTTTATGATAAATATATAGAATCGTCCGTTCTACCAATGACAATGAAAATACGAAAACATCCTTTTATTATGAAATTACATGACATTTATCAATAAAGAATTGCACGCACCCAATTTCTTCCATTCAGTATCAGACATGCTTGTAAATAATGTAAACTCCCCCCTAATGATGAACTGTGCTGATAATAAACTTTGGAATTATTTGGTGTTATTTAAATCTAAAAATAATGGTTGCGCACATTGTACACGACGTGTTAAAATTTTGACAGTCAGTTATTTTCAAAAGGTCTCAGTGTCTATTATGGTTGTAACCAATTCTATAATGCATGTATACCAGGCGTGGCTCTTCCGAATCATGATAATGGAATTGTACGTATAATTAAATCAACTTGTTTATCGAGGGAGTTGAAAATGCTTCTGTGGAAACATTGGGAAGGTGTGTCGGGAGACAAGGAAAGAACTGAAAAACCAGCAATAAATCAACTCACACCAGGACCATATACATGCATCAATGATTTCTTTAGACCGAATTCTAAAAAATATGCAGTTTGAAAGTTATCAAGATTTTGAGTTGATATTTATCAACATATTTTCTACATATGGTACGTGCCATTCTCCCACAGGAATATCATTCAAACTAATGATGAACAGAAATCACTGTTTCTTACATTAATGAAGAAAACACATGCCTAAAAATATATATATGGATATATATTGATTATATTCAATTAACTCATCTTTAATTTAATGTTAAGAATACTTATATTTGATATATTTAATCGAGTATTAACTATGTATTGTACCTTAGATTTTTAGAATTAAAGGACAGATCACTTTCAGTGGCGTAGCTAGGTACAAAATGAAGTGCATGCTGAAAGTGGCAGGGGGTTTGGGGCCGCCCTGAGGGCCCCAGTGGGTCCAGGGCGAAGCCCTGGTGGGGGTCCAGGGGGCGAAGCCCCCAGAAGCTCCTGGATTCTGACGATTTTAACACGCATAAAATCATTAAAAAAATCGAAAAAGATGTTGATTTCCATTGGATTCTGTATAGCTTGAAATGGATTACAAGATGCTGATTTCTATATAGCTTGAATTGGATTACGAGATGTTGATTTCTATATAGCTTGAATTGGATTACGAGATGTTGATTACTATATAAAATGTATTTATAAATTTTGTCTATTTGTTGCCTTATTCATTCGTTGTGTAAAAGCTAGGTGACGTCATCCTTCACATAGTCCAATATTATTTTTGGAGTACAATATTAGATATAATACTGTATACTCCTGAAAATGATATTGAACTATAGCTATAGTATGTACAAGACATTTCAAATCTTTTATTTTTTTTGTTATAAAAGAGAAGATCGGATGAAACCTTCATGTATCGAAAGTAATTTTTTAGTACTTTACAGTGAAATAAATTTCAACCAATTTGGGACTTGAATTTAGAATAAATTCATAAGCTATTAATTATTATACATACCGGTATTTGACATGACGTCATATAGGCATCGGGGCATGTTTGCAGGTCACGGAAGATGTTTGATTACTCGCTTTAAAAGATGAAAAAAATTCTTCGCTTTTCGAGAACAAGTAACTGTTTAGAGGTACTCGCTGTATGTCAAATCAAATTTGTTTATATAAAGACAATTTATTCCAATTTTTCATATTGAAATTGCGATAACCTAAAATTTCATTGAATGGGACATCCTAAAAGAACTTCGTTTTAGTGGTTTTCCATATCCTTTCTCTGAACAAAGGTTCTCAACAAATATGTTAGATCCAAATGTGATGTTTTAGAACAATCCTGTGAAATTTCGAAAAGCTGTGAGGAGATTTTGTACTTTTTCGAGAAAAGGTATCTGTTGAAGGTGCTTCTCTTTATATTTTGTACCTAATAAATGAATGGTACGATATTTTTAATCATGGTAGCATTTTGAAGGTGTAATCAAATAAACATACTCCACCAAAGGAATCTACAAAATTTTGATTACTGTCCAATTTTTTACATTGAAGTCTTTGGGCAGTGCATGTTTTACTAAGATATTGTAAAAAGTAATTTGAACTTCATATAAATCTCTTGGTGAAAATATGCAAAAACTCCCTCTTTATTAATATATGAAATAAAATGAATCATTTACAACAGATATTTTGACAAATTTTCTTCTTTTCATCAAGGGCAGATAACTCTTCAAAAACGTTTAAGCAAAATGGCCGGCTTCATATATGTTATCAGTCTTATGAATTTAGTTCATTTCACTTTCATCGTTTTCTAGCAAAATATATTTAACTAATTTAAAATGATTCAAAATCGTTCAATATCCCTTCATTATACATTGAATACCTTAAGCAAGGACAAGCAATAATATATTTACTTTATTGGGCATTTAAATTAGGAGTTACAGGTGTATATCAATATTTCCTTTATTTATTTTATTTCAATTGTAAATACTAGTATTTGTAATTCCGTCATTTTTGTTTCAGAGGTGGAACCAGGATTTTTTTTTCCGGGGGGGGGGGGGAGGAGGGGTGTCTCATGTCAGAATTGGAATTTTTTGCCATGCAACAACCCCCCCCCCTCCCAAAAAAAAAAAACGAAAACAATTTGCCCAAACCTGGAAAACCCCGGGGCTAGGAGGTACTTTTCCTCAAATACCGTTTTATGGTCGATCCGTTTTTACTAAGGGGGGGGGGGGGGTCCAACTTCCAAAGTCTTTCTCCCGTTACTTTTACATAAAAATTTAACAACTCTTAGAATTCCAGCCCCCACCCCGATCCACCCTCTACATATACATCTGCCCCTGTGTTTATTTCAACCTAACCTCACATTAATGTCTTATTTTTTCTGAATGAATGCTATATAAGTGGTAAAGTTGTTATCGATAACTTTAAGCTTCTTGTGCAAAGATTATCGAAATCTATATATATTTGTTTTGTTGGTTTTCATTCAATATGTAGAAAATCAATATTATTTATTATGTTAAAAAGTACTCTCTGGAAGGATTTGATATAATTTATAAGTATATATTAAAACGAAGCATTTATCTGAATAAAATTATGATAAAATTTCTTCTTTTAGTATATTAACATTTGAGATGTTTTAAAATATGAGTCTTGAATCTCAAGAAGTTATATCTTCATCATATTTTTCCCTTTGAACGTTGTCTTACACTTTGAATTAAATATCTCTATCAAACAAGACTGCTGTATTTCTATAATAAGATACAAAGTGCTTTTTCAAATCACCACATTTTCTCTGTTCCAATTTGATTTTTTTGCAAGCTCATCCCTTAATAGCTTATTTACTAGAAAATTCTGAACTCGAAAGGGGAATCCGGTGTAAAATATACTTTCTCATACAAATTCCAATGTTTTGAGTTTTGTAATGTTCAAAATTGTCATCCATGTAAAATTGAATAGTTAGAAAAAATATACACACGTACAGACAAATGGAGGAAAACAGTTGTATTCTAATATTCCAATGGCATACTTTAATGGCCCAGCATTTGATTTACCATAGAAGAAATTGTTTTAAAAAAAAAAGAACACAGAATTAACCCCCCTCCCACACCCACCCCCAAAAATTTAAAAATTCCAAAAGTTCCTAGCTTTATAAATAAAATATACCTGAGAGAGCAAAGTTCCCAGCCAGACAGAAGACCGCTAAAATCCATTTCTCACTCATTATTTGCCCATTTACTGCTACCTTTTAGTCGCTAATTAATTAATTATGTTGTTCTGAAGAGTCTCTTGTTGTTTTGTTTTTTATTGACCTGGTGCATCGTGAACTGATTCCTATCTCTGGGGGTCGCTGTGTCTTTTTGCTTTGGTGTTAAACAGACAAACATTTATCATAAAACATTATCTATCAGAGTATTTGTACCAGATACTGGGTTCAACAATAAGAAACACAGGATTGGATTTTAAATCTAGCTCTTCAGTAATTACGTTAACTTTACTATGTTAATAATATTGCGTAAATATCTTCTTAAGTTCAGTGTAGTTTGATATTTAATCTTTTATACATCATGAAAACAATTAATTATAGAAAGACATAAAGGGGGATATCTCAACAGCACCGATGTTTTAGTTAAGTGATTAGAACAAAAAAAAGTTTAACAATCTATCTTTAAATTAATTTCTTATTACACTTATAGGTGCAAGTGGACACCCCTCTCCATTTTTCACTCTCAGCTAAATATACCCAATGTCCAGGTATTTTCAAACGCGGATCTAGAGGGGTCCGGACCCCCTCCATCCACTTTGATATTCAGAATTATTTTATTTACATAGTGAATGCGACTTGTCCTAGTGGAACCCACTCCCCTTCCCACGGAAAAAAAATCCAGGATCCGCGGACGATTTTTGTTTATTTGATTTGTTTCTTAATTATCCTAGCATACATTTACCTTAATGTTCAATATAACCCCCCCCCCCCCCCCCAACAAACAAACAAACAACTCAAAACCTAGAACAAATGTTTTATGAAACGATACACGCATAAGCCACAACAGTTGACCTTCCATGGACTTGAGCAACCGGTAATATTTCTGTGGACAGTCAGTAACAAACATTTTAAAGTTTTAATATAACATTATTACAAATAAACGTAAACAACCCTACCCAGCTGCATCAATATGACTAACATGACCTTATTGTTCTGGAGAAGAAAATTATTAAACAACTTTTTTCCTGTGTACATGTATTGTGTGACTTATGATTTTAGTCCCAAAGGGTCCATCATTTGAAGATAAAAAATATATCGACAACTTGGGAATGTTTGCATATTAAGTGTGGTTGCTGCTTCTATGTCAGGAAGCTTTCACATGCTTCATCTTTTTATCTTATTGGTTCTTGAGATTTTTAAGACACTGACCTATTTTAGCTACTCTTCATTACCTCCTCTTTCAAGAAGGTTTGAGGGTATGGTCCCTCATTTGTACAGACTTAAATCCACTTTATATTTAGTGCCTTTATCAAAAGATACTTTGATTGAAACTGATCCAGCTGTTCTGGACAAGAGATCGACAATGTAAAAATAAAAATCATAATAGACAGATGGACATACAGGAGACAGGTGATCAGAAAACTTGAACCTTCATTCCGCGTGAGCAAAAAAAATATAGTATAAAATAAACTAGAATTTGAATAACTGATATTTTTATCTGCTCATGTCATAAAAAAGGTACATGAAATAGTGAGGCAGATATTCAGTCATCTACTTCTATAATATAGTTTAAACAAAGTGAAAGCAAGAAAAAGCAAGAAAGTCACAGATATAGTTGTCTGCTCAAAAGACAAGATAATCAAAACATGAAATGAAGCTAGCTATCGATATGCAGGCCTGTTTTTGTTATTTAATATGTAGGCTTGTTTTTGTTATTTGATATGTAGGTCTGTTTTGTTATTTGATATGTAGGCCTGTTTTTGTTATTTAATATGTAGGCTTGTTTTTGTTATTTGATATGTAGGTCTGTTTTTGTTATTTGATATGTTGGCCTGTTTTTGTTATTTGATATGTAGGCCTATTTTTATTTGATATGAAGGCCTGTTTTTGTTATTTGATATGTAGGCCTATTTTTGTTATTTGATATGTAGGTCTGTTTTTGTTATTTGATATGTAGGCCTATTTTTGTTATTTGATATGAAGGCCTGTTTTTGTTATTTGATATGTAGGCCTGTTTTTGTTATTTGATATGTAGGTCTGTTTTTGTTATTTGATATGAAGGCCTGTTTTTGTTTTTTGATATGAAGGCCTGTTTTTGATATTTGATATGTAGGCCTATTTTTGTTATTTGATATGAAGGCCTATTCTTGTTATTTGATATGTAGGCCTGTTTTTGTTATTTGATATGTAGGCCTGTTTTTGTTATTTGATATGAAGGCCTATTTTTGTTATTTGATATGTAGGCCTGTTTTTGATATTTGATATGAAGGCCTATTTTTGTTATTTAATATGTAGGCCTGTTTTTGTTATTTGATATGAAGGCCTGTTTTTGTTATTTGATATGTAGGTCTGTTTTGTTATTTGATATGTAGGCATATTTTTGTTATTTGATATGAAGGCCTGTTTTTGTTATTTGATATGTAGGTCTGTTTTGTTATTTAATATGTAGGCCTGTTTTTGTTATTTGATATGTAGGTCTGTTTTTGTTATTTGATATGTTGGCCTGTTTTTGTTATTGATATGTAGGCCTATTTTTGTTATTTGATATGTAGGCCTGTTTTTGTTATTTGATATGAAGGCCTGTTTTTGTTATTTGATATGAAGGCCTGTTTTTGATATTTGATATGTAGGCCTATTTTTGTTATTTGATATGAAGGCCTATTTATGTTATTTGATATGTAGGCCTATTTTTGTTATTTGATATGTAGGCCTGTTTTTGTTATTTGATATGAAGGACTGTTTTTGTTATTTGATATGTAGGCCTGTTTTTGTTATTTGATATGTAGGCCTGTTTTTGTTATTTGATATGTAGGCCTGTTTTGTTATTTGATATGTAGGTCTTTTTTGTTATTTGATATGTAGGCCTGTTTTTGTTATTTGATATGTAGGCCTATTTTTGTTATTTGATATGTAGGCCTGTTTTTGTTATTTCATACGTAGGCCTGTTTTTGTGTTATTTGATATGTAGGCCTGTTTTGTTATTTGATATGTAGGCCTGTTTTTGTCATTTGATACATAAGCTTGTTCAAGCATTTTTGTTATATATGGAGAAAAACAACAGTCTATTTATCTCTGTGTAGTGAAAAACTGAGCGAAGTTAAAGTAAGTAGGTTGTTTTCCAGTACTCCAAAATATTTTTTTCCAACATAAAAATCTGCACTAGATCAAACTCTAAATCTGTCTGTTATACAATTCTAACAGCCAAACATAGGTAATCAAAGATTACGAAGCTCACCTCGACGAATGTTATCTATAAGTAAGGCAAATTTCACATCATATTTTTTTCTAGTTAGGGAACATCCCAAGATCAATATCCTTGCAAGTTTGGTTTAAGTAGGACTTGTAGTTACTTGGAAATAGACCTGCTCAAAAAACTTTTAACCTATTTAGTAATCAAGAAAATTTTGGTCAGTTCCAACATCCAAAGCAAGTCTGGAAGTTTTCATCCTTAGATGCACCATCTATGCAAGTTTAATCATAACAGGCCATAATATTATATAGCTACACCAAAAAAATTACCCTGGTCGCTCATCTGGATAATGTAGGTCAGATTCAGAATCCAAAGCAAGTCTGGTAGTGTCCATCCCTAGATACATCATCCATGCTAATTTGGTTAAAATATGGCTAAAATTCACTCATGTAGAAAATCTAGGTCAGATCCAGCATCCGAAGCAGGTGTGATAGTGTCCATCCCTAGATACATCATCCATGCAAGTTTGGTCCAGGTAGGGCTAATAGTTACTTGGGAATGGGACTTGCTCCTAAAACTTTAACCGGGATGCCGACGCTAACGCCGATGGTATAGCATAAGCTCATCTCCACTTCGTTGAGGTGAGCTAAAAATGTAAGAAATCTAAATACAGGGGCCCTAAATCTGCACAATCTCCAGCAAAATAAATGTCCGTCTTCAGCCTTTAAATCATTTATCAAACCATCAACTGCTCATCACATTTAATCTGAATATACCTTAAATTCTTCCCCCACAAATTAAATTCATTCAATCATTCTCAAATTAAAGATAAAAGATTTTTATACAAGCAAAAAAAAAGCCATAAAACAAGATTTTGTAGAAATCAGTTTTATTTGTATAATATGCACATAGCTATATGAAAATTCTTAATCAATATTCACATGGAGTATCTTCTCGTAATTAATTAGCTTGTTTCCACTATTTTTCTGGAGCAAGTACAGAACAATTTAGGAACATCACATTAAACAACATATCATTTTTATTCCCAAATGCCAGAATAAATTTTGAAAACTAAATTGTATAAAAAGGTAATCCAAAAAGTTAGAACATGTAGATTTTTGCCTTCTTCCTATAATTATTAATATGTATCACTTTGTAAAAAAAAAATTAGTAAAATACAACATGGACTGAAATGTACATTATCTACCTGTACTAATTACAGGTATGTTATTAAGGAACACATTCACTGAATTATAGGTACTAATCTCTAGGAAATTATTGTCAGAATATATCAGTTACATAAAACAGGTCTGTGCAGTCTTTTGGACACCATTCAACAGAAGATGAAAATTTTAATGAACATTATTCAAGTGGAGGGGGATACAATTTATTCGGATCATTAGGTCACAGTTTTGAGGAACATTAATCTTTCATACAATCAACACGTTGTCTTGAAGTTCTTTACAGCGATTCACTGATGTATAAATAACAGAACACTATGTAGGCAATCCCAGAGTTCTGTCCCTTTGCTAACTCTCCTTGGCCACCAGGACACCTCCTGTTTTCACATCTTTGCTGGATTTCTCCATGTCTTTGGATTCCTCTCCTTTTATCTTTAGATTATACTTTGTTCTGTATTTGTTGATCTCACTTCCCTTAGTTTCTAGTTGTTTTGATAATGATTCTACAAGTTTACCCATCTGTAAAAAACAGTTTGAGAATAATTTATTATCTTGAGTTTTCCTTCATGTATATATTGTATAAGGAATTTACAAAATTTACAAAAAGCTTAGGGGAAAAATACCATTAATATCAAATCAATTACTCTTAGTTTTACTAAATTCAGTCATCAAAAATTTCTTTTAATGAATCTGTCACTTTAAAAAAATTAAAATAATTCATTCCGAAGTGAATTCTAAACTAAATACAGAATCAGTTATTGTAAATTTCAAAGCACTAAAGTTTCTAAATCAATGTTTTGTTAAGCAGCAAGTTGTTTACTTAACACAAAAGTTTATTACCTGTTCCTTATTGTTCACTAATGCCGGAAGAACATCTTTGACTGTCCTCTCAACTAAAACACCCCCCACCATTCTAAAGCACTTCCTATCTGGGGCAACATCTTTCAGTGTCTCTATAACCAGTCTAAAAATAAGCATTAAGAGATTATGTTTATTGTCTGTCATATCAAGTTACAAGAAATAATAAAGATAGCAATAGGTTTTGATAATTAATTTTGATAGGTATTATAATCTGTTTTGACAAACATGACTGGTGTTCAGTAATTAAGACATGTGCTTGCCCCAACGGCCACAACATGAAACATATTATAATAAATCTGAGTAAACAAATTGTAGTTTCAATTCATTTCAGATTAAAGGTAAATGCAACATAAAATTAAAACTTATTAAAGGAAAAAAATGCATTATAAGCATATAACAGTAGCCCTTCTTACAAAATATCTTACGATTAATTTTCATGGAAAGAGGAATCTTACAGTTTTATTCTTTTTTATAAAAATTCTTATGAAAATCTCATGTGTAAAATTTGCCATAACTTTACAAGAGCTCTAACCCTCTCGTTAATTTTGAATCCTATTTTAATTTTAAAATATAACATTTAATAAATACAAGGTTAATAGAACTTTTTAATGCATCCTACAATACTCTTTTATAATAATTTCACAAATTAAATGAAATATACCTCAAAATATTTATGATGACCATTCCCCTTATCTGTTATGAATGCATTCGTGAAAAGCACTTAAGATTTGGCGTAAGTGACTCTTAGTTAAAATCTTTAAAAAAAAAAAACAAACAAAAAAAAAAAACAAACAAAAAAACAACTTTAAGATTTTTTTGTGAAAAGGGCTACAAATCTTCTGAATATCTTATGGTATTTAAGCACATATCTCTAAAAGTCCCTGTGCTTCATACATGTAGTAGGAAAGGAGAAATGCATGAAGAAAACATATGGCTGGACCAGGAATTGAACCTGGGACCCCTGTATTACTAGTCAGGTTCTCTAACCACTGAGCTATCCAGGCCGATATCCACCGTCTGTACCTGAACTTCTACATTCCTCCTAATCTGAGATTCCTCTGACTCTAACCCCTATTTTGACATGTGCAGGGGACCTGCACATGTCACAATATAAAAGCAGGGGTTAGAGTCGAAGGAATCTCGGATTACATTCCTCCCTCCTTAAACAGTCTTCGATCTCAAAGACACAAGTTCTAGGGCCCTGCCAGGAATTACTAATTTACACATAACGTAACCTGAACATGGCCCCCCACACTGGCCACCAAATGTACCGTATATACTCGCCTATAAATCGGTTTTTTGGGAGTTAACTTTTAGTCCAAAACTCTATGTCTGACTTATAGGCGAGTCATCAAAAGCTTGGTATTTTTCTAGACGACGAAATGTACCGGTAGTATTTTTAACATAACTTCGACGATTATCGTTGAGAAATGTCTGGACGTATTATATTATTTATGTATTCTAAGATTATATATAAAGTACAAGTATTTACATGTTTGAATGATTTTATTTTGATCTTAAGTGTATATTATTTATTTGATTAATTATAAACAAAAATATTTCTCTAATTAACTTGTGACTTACTGTAAATCTATCGTTTGTCAGTAAAATTGAATTGCGAACCCGATATACCGGTAATACGTTCAGCATTAATGTATAATTATATGTACTGTCTGCAATGTTTTTGACAACAGAAATAATATTCTTAAAAATAATTCAGAATATTATTCTGGGGCTAATAAAACTCGATTGTTTATGAATGAATATTGAATGAATGAATGAATATTCCAATGTTTAGTACACGATTTTCTTGGGGCGCGTGCCACTAAATAAATACGGTGTCAGGTAAGGGATACAGGTAATTAAGAGACAGTAATTGCTAATAAAGGATCAAACATAGCGTTATTAAAAACTATAGATATGGCTTGGACATTGAGCACCTCCTAATTAAAAATCATCAAAATGCCGAGCGCATGGCGAAGGAACAGTTGCTACCTATATTTTTATCGACTTAGGTCTGTTGCGGCCGAGATTCGAACTCACGACCTCCCGATCACAAAGCGAGCGCTCTACCGACTGAGCTACCGTGAACGGTAAATTTATAGGAGAAGACAAAAGAGAGAGAAAATATCGGCGTAATTTCTCAAAATATTATTTGAAACACATGTTAAAACATTAGAGCATTGATTTGAAATTGTCCACCAATCCTGGCAAAAAGTTGTACCGACTTATAGGCAGGTCAATGGCAAATACCTCCATAATAACCTCAAAATTCACAACCGACTTATAGGCGGACCGACTTATAGGCGAGTATATACGGTAGTAGGAAAGGAGAAATGCATGAAGAAAACACATGGCCATAGGAAAGGGGGGGGGCATGCCCCCCAATAATTTTGCCGATATATAGATTACTATAGTAAACATAGGTACTATCTATATGCTTGTGCCCCCTCAATAAAAACGCCTGATGACCTTCTTTTTTTTTTTTTTGCTTGTCAGAAAATTTTTGGTAGTGCCCCCTCATCTATCAACTGAAAAATGTTTGGCTGTGCCCCCCAAACTGAAATTGCTTCCTACGGGCCTGAAACATATGGCTGGACTGGGAATCGAACCCGGGACCCCTGCATTACTAGTCAGGTGCTCTAACCACTAAGCTTTCCAGGCCGATTATATCCACGGTCCTAGTGAGAACCCTGCCGATATCCACGGTCCGTAAAGCCCGAACTTCTACATACAGTAAGAATTAAAATAGCTTAGTTACCGCTTAATGCCTTTGAAAACAGGGATCAGATTTAATATTAATAAAAAGAAAACTTTCTAAGATTAATAAAGTATGCTTTATATACAGTTTGCTCTTGTTAAGTATTCTGTTTAAAAAAAACTTTAATTTTGATTGCATTAATCAAGTTCCATTGCAATTACAAAGTATTGCTATTCAGTGCATGCCAAAACAAGGTTGTATGTTCGTTCGCCCTAAAACTTGTTCGCCCTTGACGCCGTTCGCCCTCATTCCCGTTCGCCCAGAGTCCGATCGCCCTAAAACTTGTTCGCACAGGGTCCGTTCGTCTTATTTATATTGCAGAAAGTTGAATAATGAACCAATGGATTTTTTAAATAAATTGTATGTACATTGGTACATAAATTGCACACGGGAGACAACAGACGTATGCATGTGGTCACACTATAAATACCTGTCCTATCAAAGACCCGGCAGACCAACAGAAATTAACGTCTCAGTCCTTTAATTGTTTTCAAAACTTACAGTGACATAATTAAGTATAATTAAATCAATTAAGCATGTAAAGAGCATAAATATCAAATTTGAAGATTACGGTAAATAAAAAAAAATTCTGTAGTAACATTTGGAAAAAAAAAAACACCAAGTCGTAAAATATTGAATAAAATTAATAATAAATGTTGATATTTATTATTTACTGTATATATAATAGGGCGAACGAGATATAGGGCGAACAAGAATAATGGCGAACGGACCTTGCGCGAACGGACTCGTGCGAACAGGTAGATAGGGCGAACGAACCCGATACCCCAAAACAACGTGGTTTCCAAATACATGTATCAAAACCTCAAATATAGCCATTGTTGGAAAAGTTGTTAAAATATTTACTCGTGTTCTTTCATGTCCATTTCTAATTCCGATATTTTTGTTGCTATTGCCCTCTGCTGCTGTCTTAATTCCTGAAAACCAGCAACGATTTGTTCTTTCGACTTGTTAATGTTAGTCGCCATTTTGTAAACAAAACGCAGATTGCAATTTTTTAACAAAACGAAAAGAAAACTAGCTTGTAGGGAATTTTAAAAAGAAATGCATATTTATTGCCGTGCATTTTAAAATGTTTCTTTTAAATATTTTTTTTCATTTAAAGCAATTATTAGAAAATTATTCATGAAAACTTGTAAAATGTTTTAATCGTTTCTTTAATACAATGATGCTCGCGTTTGTTTAAATATGGCGGAAAATGTTAAACTTTGTTCATGCATGTGATCGTGAATTTGGTTTTCTTTGGAGGAACAAACTATAGAACATGGTGTTAGAATCAAAGACCCAGAAGATTTATAGGTGTGTAAAAAGTCTAAATATTTCATATTTTGAAATACTGTTTTATCTGGTCAAGTTAGAAAATTTTTTGCAAATAAAACATGAATGAACCTGATAATAGTGTTTATTTTTAAGGTGAAATAAAAAAAATGTTAAGATGTTTAAAAAATTATCAGTTTTTCTAAACTGCTTTGTTCATTCGATCACATTCTTTTTAGGGACCCGTTTGCAGTTAAACCTTTACCAAAAGCACATTATCATCCAAGTAAACACAAGTATCTCTCCAAAAGTCAGAGAAAGGTAAACAAAGTGTAAGGGGACAATTTAGGGTTCAGTCCCATGTAATAAACTTATCACTGATTTCGAGAAGGATGCGAGATTTTTCATTTTTTAATATATTGATGGTGCGACCGTTGGGGCGAGCGCATTGTTCACTTAATTGATTTTAAGATCCGCCTCTTCAAACTGCATGAGACATTTGGAATGTCTAGACTGTGACGTCACATGACGTCATATGTTAGCTGCATTTCCATAGACAAAGTTTGAAAAGTGCAAAAATTTTAACAAAGAACGCTTAATCGAGCTACTATCTGTATGCATATATCCATCAAATTAAGATGAGTTTATCTTTTGAGAATTTTTAGTTGTTGTTATTACCGTGCGAACGAAGTTGACAGCGAGAACAACAAGTGATGCATTGTGGGTCCAGAATTACTGTGGAAAAAAATTCTATTGGATGAATGTGCAGTAGTCCGAATTTTCTCTTCGCCTAGGCATTGTCGTTAAAGCTCGTGCGCCGCTCGCTGCGCTCGCTATCAATAATAATATATTCTGATAAAAAACATAAATTATAGCACACATAATTTGACAAAAGCAATTTACAAAAATAAGTGAGGAAGAGGGTGATTTTTCAATAATTACCACAATTTTAGCCCCTGTCCTGAAAATCTATGTGGAAGCAATTTTGAATGAATTGTACTGCAGAAGTCTGATTGACATTTCAATATGGGAACAGTTAACCCCAGACAGGTGACTGAAGCCCTGATATGCATAACCTGGATGGGTTCTATGTAAAGGGAGATAACTCTAAATAATAAGGGAAAAAAAACAATCATCATGTATACAATATAGGGAAAATACCTATAATATAGCTAAAAATATTCACACATTGTTTCATTTATGATGACCGCATATTAAAAGTTGGCGACAATCGTTACATCACTGGTCAAACTAGATAAATACATTTAAGTTTACAAAATACATAGCTTAACTATCAGAAAAGTCTAACAGATTTACAGTAGAGCACTTGGTTGTCTTTATAAAATAGTGACAAAACTTTAGAAATGATTCAGATTCAGAGATCTTAAAAGCCAGCCTATTTTTACTAATGACTTCTGATTTGATAGTATATATATTTTAAAAAATTACTCATGTTTTATTTTGGCAGACAGCTTTGGGTAGCCCATTAAAGCAGAACGATAAAGAAGACAACCAAACCAGTGCTGAGGATGAAGTGTTTCTCAAGGGAGGTAACCGATACCTCACTAAAACCCCTCCTCCTGATGATAATGCTTCCTCAAAGTTTGATGAATCCTGGCCGAGCAGCGAGAGGCCTTCTTCTGTGGGGTACTTACTGTGTTATCTGTTATCAATTGTTCATTGATTTTTCATCATTGTTGGTTGTTTAATTATTGTACTTGAAGATGTCTTACAGAAAGTATTGTAATAGTTTTGAAGATAGTATTAAAAAAAATAATGTTTTTGATATTCTCTTCTTTAAATCCAACCAATATATTGGAAAATAAATTGTAATTTGATTTCAGTCTGACAGGCACAGATGATAGAAGTCCATATTCACTTCACAAAATGTTAGATTTATATGGGAAGAGAACGGAAGATTACTCTGATGTCAAACAGACCCTGTCATTCACAGAGACAGATTTAAAGGGTCCCCCAGGAGAAAGGACATCCACACTTCAGAGGTTGTTATCTGATACAGTAATTATCTGAAACAGTAATTATCTGATACAGTAATTATCTGATACAGTATTTATCTGATACACTATTTATCTGATGCAGTAATTATCTGATACAGTAATTATCTGATATAGTAATTAACCAATACAGTAACACTGCTTTCCTTATTTAAAGTATTCCATGGTAGATGTGTTTTAAAAGATCATCCATTAGATTTTTGAAAGAAGATGTAGTAAGCCAGGCCTCTAAGTGGCCTCTAAAATTAAGGCGCCAGCTGGTGCCTTATCAAAAAAATTTAGTCACTAATGCAAATTTTTAGTCACCAGGCAATTTTTCCAAGGTGCCAACTTTAAAAGTTAATAGAATATAGGGACCCATGACATGCCTAAGAAAACAAGACATGTTCATTGCTGAAAATAATTTCCTCTTCTTTTAAATTTCTTTTCGCTTTTTCAGAAAAGTTGCTAAAAATGTGAAAATTTCTGGAATTCAACGATCACCATGTCAATTTAAAATGGTCGCCAATTTGGTGATTTACGGGAAAATTTTTAGATGCCAATCAAAAATTTTAGATGCCATGGCGACTAAATTAGTTGCCAATTAGAGCCCTTTAAGCACTTGTAAAATGGACTAAAAACAATAAATTTGTATAAATAACAGGTATGTAGAGAGATTTCGGAGAGGAGAACCTATGAGTAGAGAGGAAAGAGAGAGACAAACTGCAGCCAGCTCTAAGGACTTCTGGTGGATTGACCCATCAAAGACGGAGAATGATGATATAAAGAGACCCACTGTCAAAAAAGTAAGAGCATTTAATATCTTTATAAAACATAAAGAGAATGTCAAATGTAATGTTATAAATTAATACACTGTGAATTATGTGTTCCTTGAAGAGGTATATGTTTTCATCCCCAGATGACACCAATAATCATGTGAAGAAGTTTTTGATGAAAAGGAAATTTGAAAACATGAAAATGCATCCTTTTACAGAAAAAATGTTCTTTATAATGTATCATAAATACTTTAAAAATATCACTTTATTACATGCAAATTCCTGGTCTAAAACTGTATGAACCAAATCTAAAGAAAATGTACTGGTGTGTGATGGTTATTATCAAAAGAGTCTCAATGGATTGTTGTATCTGTTCATTCTTTATGAATACGTTAATAGTCACTTGATATTAAGGAATCTGTATCTGTTGTAGGTGGTTGCGGGGTCCCCTTCTGACAAACTTACACAGCAGCTACAGGAAAGGGCAGACAGATTACTGGAAAGAAGGTCAGGGAGTTTCCTTTTTGTTATCTTATAAGCTGGAGATTTTTCATTATATTTCTGTTGGAACACATTGTGTTAGCTATGCTGTTTTTTATTTCTATAGGAACATATTGTGCTAGCTATGCTGTTTCTTTTTTAGTGTTAGCACTGTTGCCTCGTCAGAGCCAATTGTTAGTACAGACGGACTTGGGAGTTCTTATGATGGAACCATTTCCAGTTTTGAAGAGCAACCTTACCGTCCAGCATTTGCTAAAAATTTTGGTACACAGAGATTTTTTTGATGATGCTTTATAAAGTTTGATTTAGAAAATTTTATTCACAGTGAGAGTAATGTAAGGTATGCATAAAATCATTCAACAAATCATATTTTTTGTAAATTCAGATGCTGGTCCCCCTAGAACACAATACCAGGGATTGAATCGGGAACCAGCTGCCTATTCCTATCACACTGATACGGGACCCATTTTCCCACGTCCAACAAAACCTGTTCGACCAGAAGATGACATTCTGCATCAGTGGAGAGTAAAACGTCGACTTGAGTCTGCTCGAGACAAGGCAGACAAAGCTCCAGCCAATCAAAACACATTCGGGTTTCTGTCTAATCACCCTGATGAGGTTTGTAACATAAGAAATAAGTGAATACTATTGATGATTAGCAGCTTTTAATTATAAAGCTTAAATTATAAAGAATGAAAGAGTAAATAATGTGCATTACTTATACTTACATGTATAATATGCATTACTTATACTTACATGTATAATATGCACTACTTATACTTACATGTATTTCATTTCCAGGAGGAAGTAAAGACAAAGTTATCAGAATTCAAAGAAAGACTGTCAGGGAAGAGGCCCCCTACAGAGCCCTGGCGAGTCCATGGCGCTGTTCAGTTCACTCCTAAACCTGTGCCAAGTCCAGACTTTGCTGTTGATCATGGCTCTGAGTATCAGGTACCAAATCCTGTCAGGGGTCAATGTTTGTCATGGATCATAGCCTTGGTATTCTTAATTAAGAACTCTTTTTAATTTCTGTAGACTGAAAGGATTAAATTTATAATGGACCTATTCTGGCACTTGGAATCTTTTTACAATCTTTTATTTGTTAATTATCTAAAAAATGCATGAGAATGAAAATACTTGGTATAACTTCTCAGAAACAAGTACAAACTGTATCAACTCATCCCTGAAGTGCTTTACCCCCCTCCCCCCTCCTCCCCCAACTAATCAACAAAGTGTTAGTAAATTTTAAAAATTGTAGGGAAAACAACATAAAACATCATATGTTCATAAAACCTAAATCAGTTTTACTGAGGTACACCTGTTAGGAATATATGGTAAATGAGGCAGTAATGAATTTAGGATAATTTTTCTTGTTAATGCTGCGGTGACATCCATTAGGGGACACATTTTTCTCCCTCCTTGACCTAGGTTCCTAATTTGTGAAAGTAACATATTATAATTTCAACAAAAATTTATAAATGTATACTTTCTTACAGCCAAAGCTGGAGCAGAAAGAGGGTAATGATTTGCCTCCAATAGCAAGTCCCACCCTAGGGAGGCGTGGGAAACAGACAGGAGTGGAACCTCATTTACATCTTATGTGTGACCTACTTCCATGTCAGCACTCTCAACAGTATATAGATAAAACACCAAGGTCACTGACAACAGAAAAGTTAAAACAGGAGGAGAGACAAACAAAAATATGTCAAAGTTCAAGGTCAGATGATAACGAATGTAAAGGTGAATCTGATTCTTCTGAACTTGAAGACAGGACAGGGAGGTATAAATACTTAGAAGCAGAGAGACCTGATGTGGAAGCAACAAAACCCAAAAGTATGGAAAGTGAAAGTGAAAATAGAACTAAAGAAAGTGCATGTGGCATTCAAAAGCGAAAGAAAAACCAAGACATCAAACATGTGAAGTCTGATATAAAACATTCAAGTGAAAGCGGGACACAGGAGAAGGATAGTGCTGAAGGAGAAGAAAGCATTCCCAGACCAAGAGAGTGCCATAGTCCTTCTATGAAGAGATCTGAGAGTGTTAACACCGCTGTAGGACAGGTATAACACATAGCTACATTCTTTACCTTTTAATTTGCTATCAATTTGTATTGATACATTTTTAGCTCACCTGAGCTGAAAGCTCAAGTGAGCTTTTCTGATCACCTGTTGTCCGTCGTCCGTCCGTCCGTCTGTCCGTCTGTAAACTTTTCACATTTTCAACCTCTTCTCAAGAACCACTGGGCCAATTTTAACCAAACTTGGTACAAAGTACCCTTGGGTGAAGGGGAGTTTAAATTGTTAAAATAAAGGGCCAAGTCCCCTTACAAGGGGAGATAATCAAGAAAAGACAAAAATAGGGTGGGGTCATTAAAAAATCTTCTTCTCAAGAACCACTGAGCCAGAAAAGCTGAAACTTATGTGGAAGCATCCTGGGATAGTCTAGATTCTAAATTGTTCAAATCATGACCCCCGGGGTAGGGTGGGGCCACAATAGGGAATCCAAGTTTTACATTGAAATATATAGGAAAAATCTTTAAAAATCTTCTTCTCAAGAACCATTGAGCCAGAAAAGCTGAAACTTATGTGGAAGCATCCTGGGATAGTCTAGATTCTAAATTGTTCAAATCATGACCCCCGGGGGTAGGGTGGGGCCACAATAGGGAATACAAATTTTGCATTGAAATATATAGGGAAAATCTTTAAAAATCTTCTTCTCAAGAACCACTGAGCCAGAAAAGCTGAAACTTATGTGGAAGCATCCTGGGGTAGTGTAGATTCTAAATTGTTCAAATCATGACCCCCGGGGGTAGGGCGGGGCCACAATAGGGAATACAAATTTTACATTGAAATATATAGGAAAAATCTTTAAAAATCTTCTTCTCAAGAACCACTGAGCCAGAAAAGCTGAAACTTATGTGGAAGCATCCTGGGATAGTGTAAATTCTAAATTGTTCAAATCATGACCCCCAGGGGTAGGGTGGGGCCACAATAGGGAATACAAGTTTTACATTGAAATATATAAAAAGAATCTTTAAAAATCTTCTTCTCAAGAACCACTGAGCCAGAAAAGCTGAAACTTATGTGGAAGCATCCTGGGGTAACGTAGATTCTAAATTGTTCAAATCATGACCCCCGGGGGTAGGGCGGGGCCACAATAGGGAATACAAGTTTTACATTGAAATATATAGAAAGAATCTTTAAAAATCTTCTTCTCAAGAACCCTGAGCCAGAAAAGCTGAAACTTATGTGGAAGCATCCTGGGGTAGTGTAGATTCTAAATTGTTCAAATCATGACCCCGGGGGTAGGGCGGGGCCACAATAGGGAAACATTGAAATATATAGGAAAAATCTTTAAAAATCTTCTCAAGAACCACTGGACCAGAAAAACTGAAACTTATGTGGAAGCATCCTGGGGTAGTGTAGATTCTAAATTGTTCAAATCATGACCCCCGGGGGTAGGGCGGGGCCACAATAGGTATTACAAGGGGGGAAGTCTGGTAATGAACAGCATGGCCAAAGTTACTCAGGTGAGCAATGTGGCTCATGGGCCTCTTGTTATACTTTGTCATTGACAGGTGATCAAGGACCGATTATTCACATCATCACTGAGCACAGTGATGGACAGTGTAGACAGTAGTATGCTAGATCAAAACAGACAGAGTGTAGAGATCACAGAGTCCACCAGGCTATCTCATCCAGAGTTATCTCCTCCTGATCCTAAACCACCCTCAGGATTGTCTGCCCCTGATTCCAGAATGAAAGATAAACATCCAACAGAGACAAGGAGAGAGAGAAAGGTGAAGACAAAATCCGTCCAAAAGGAGGCAGAGAGGGGGCAGAATTTGGCAGAGTTAGAGAATGGTGAGGATATATTAAAACATCTGCACATATCACATGCAGTAAAATCCATTAACATTAATATTACTGTAATGCATGTGTTACATTAATTAAATTATAGACTGATTTTAAGAAGACAAACTTCTAAAACTTTAATTTAAATCGAGTATTACATGTAAGTACATTAAATGCAGCCTGACAAAAGCATTTATAGATTACAGTCAGTCTTGTATTACAGCATTATTAAAAGAAATATATCTTTAATTATAATAAAATTTATGTATGAATACTTTTTTTTTCTTTGTAGAGGAGAGTTATGAATCAGATGGGGAATTCCCAGACGATCGGCTGTTACAGATTCTGCGTGCTCAGCGCTCACAATTTGAAGAACAGCTTGAGTAAGTCAACAAAATCTCTGTCAGTTATACTCTGTTGGTATAAAAAAACTATGCACACTAACTCCCGATTCCCGCCTACATTTTACACTCATTTAATTCGATATAAACAACATTTTAGTTATTAAAACCTGTCTGAATGCAAAGAAGAGTTAATTTGTAATTGATTATTCATTTTTAAACCAGTGTCGAAAAGTTAATTGCTTTTATTTACAACATCTTTCCATAAGGGGGTAGAACATTTTATCCATTGAAATCAGGCTTTAAGACATCACCAGATTTTCAAATTCGCATGAAAATTGGATGAATGACCCTTATACCTTTCAGTATGATTAAATTATTTTAAATTCAATGTATAAGATTGATGAAATATTCTTTTTTATATGTTTTCTCATTTGAAATTGGTTATAAAATGATTATTTTTGCTGTTTTTTGTCTGTAAACATATCCCCCCCCCCCCGGTGAAACAACAAAAGCTTTGGTATGAATTTGTGAAATAACAATTCATAATAACTGTAGAAAGGAATTTTTGTTTCATGGTGGGGGGGGGGATGTTTTAAAAATATTTTCTGTTTTCCGTTGATTTCTATAGTGAAAAACAAGTTCTACCAAAATTAAAGAGTTATCTCTCTTTGTTTTCCCAAATAAATTATGTCCTATGAGCATTCAGATAAATATCTTTATAAATATTAAAATTCATTCAAATATGTTAACTTCTGAAATTGACATGGAGGTAGGCGGCATAACAAAAATATCGTTCGTAGTTCTCTACCAGTCTTGGTTTCTTCCAATGTTTACATGCATTTATACATTTTTTTTTTTTTCCTTTTTCAGGCACATTGACAAGCTTCTTCAAAAGTTATCTCCCCTGTCTTGATGTTTACATGTAGAATAATTTTGTGTATATTATGATTCGTTATTATTAAATTATTATATATAGTGTCTCATCCTAACTAGTTGTAATTTTGTGGATGATCAGTTAAAGTTACTCACTCTGAGGAAACAAATTATAAAAATTTGTTTTGTGAATTGTGGGGTGGGGGTGGGGGTTGATAGCAATACCTATTTTCAATTTTGTGAAAATTTTACTACTACAGTAAAACACACTTATCACAAAGCACCAGGGATGGAAGATTTTGCTTCGCTATTATCATAATTCGTTATATCCGTTAAATTAGCAATATATTACAAAGTCACAGGGGATGAAAATCACTTCCTTATAAGCGTCGATTCATAATAGGCGCGTTCGCTATAAGCGCGTTTTACTGTAGTATTGTGGACTACCATAGGGGGTTTTAACCTCCTTTCAGAAACTGAGCTTATAGCCAACTTTAAAGTTTTTCAATAGTACATGTAGGTCAAAGTCCAATGTCAAGAGGAAAAGAGAGGTCTTGTCAAAAATGGTAACGTGAAATATGAAACTCGAAACGCCAACCATTTCGATGTTATGGACAAGGTTTTAAGAAATATATTAGACTCTAGTGTCCAAGTTACCAGGTAAAAAATGTTGGTACGTGTCATAAGGAACACACAAATGAAATATGAAAGTCCTAGCACCAACCGTTTATTAGTTAGAGTAAAGGTTTTTTCAAAATTATGTGAAACTCCAAGGTTAAGGTCATGAGGTTAAAAATATAGGTACACAAGAAATGCCGAGACAAAATATATGTAAAATATGAAAGCCTTAGCACTTACCATTCAGAAGTTATGACCAAGGTTAGAAACTACAAGGTCTTGAGGTCAAAAATGTGGGTACCTGAAGAAAGGTCTTGTCACAATTAATACATATATGTAATATGAGAGTCCCAGCACTAACAATTTGTTCAGAATTTATGACTAAGGATAAAGTTTTTCTGAAGTAGGTCAAAAATGGTGGTACCCAAAGAAAATTCTTGTAACAATGAATATATAAGCAAATTATGGAAGCCCCCAACATCAACCATTTAGAAGTTATTGGTAAGGTGAAAGTTGATTAAATGTTTTTTCAGAAGTAGATGAAACTTGAAGGTCAAGGTTATGAGATCAAAAATGTTGGTACCCAAAGAAAGGTATTGTCACAAAGAGAACAAGTGAAATATAGAAAAAAAACATTGCTCCAACCGGTCAAAAGTTAGGGGCAAGGTTAATGTTCTTGCAAAAAGTTAAAAGTTTTTGCAAACAGGCGGACAGACAGACTAAAAACTATACGCACCCGAATCTCCTATTACGGAAGCATAAAATACAGCATAAAAAAGAGAAAGGGTGATTTTCAAAAGATGGTTGAAGGCACATACTTAGAATATATTTCGTATTTACCTAAAGTTCGGAAAATGGTTCCCAATATTCATATACAGGGAAAGGCATACATGTACTAGGTTTTAAAAAGTGAGCACATCCAACGGTAAGATGCCTATGCCACATGAAAAAATGATTCATGAAAAGGACAGAGAGAGAGAGAGAGTTTTCCTCGTGGAAAAAACGAAGCATCACCAATAACTCGACTCTGGCTGTTATTATATATGTATAAAGTTGCCGCACGTTATTTTATCAGTGTCGGGTTCTAGCAATGTCTGACAGGGGAATTTGTCCCTGTCGACTCCAATATTTACAATCAAGCTCAGTGCTTGTTACCGAGTAATTGGCGGAGTCAACTTCATCTAAACATCAAGCATGTATCCAGGGATAATTCCTTTGTAATATTTATAAATGGGTATATAAAAAAGAATACATTTAAAATCATAAGCTGTACAAAGCTCATTGGTTCTATATGAAAAATATTCTAATCAAATATTCACTACTGGATTCCTGAAAATTATTTTTCCAGATACAGTTTCCTTTACTTGCCAAAAAAAGAGTTTTATAAATTTCCGAAAAATATAGATTCGTAAGTTATTTGTTCTCACATGTATTCCGTGGGATGGTAGAATTAAGGATTTTTATGTTAGCTGAATGAATGATGCAAAATATCAAAATACCTTACATTGTCATTAAATTGTGTTTTCTGAAATAATTTTAATATATTTTTGAGAAAACAAGATTTGACTCCCCCCCCCCCCCCCCGAAAATAATTCTGTTGGAAAATGTGTGAAGAAGGCAACATACATGTATATTTATAACAATGCAATTTTGTTGGTATTAATATGGACAAATGTACATGAAGAATAATTATTGTATTCCGGAAAAAGGGGGGGGGTGCCCAAAATCCTATTTCGGAGGGGAGGGGTCCAACATAATGTATTACCATGATTTAAGTATACCACAACAAAAAGGGGGACAACCAGTCTTTCAAAAATATCTTTAACAGTAAAATGTTATGCTTGGAAAAAAAGTGGGCATACTACGTTCTTGTATAAAGAGCCTTATCTAATAATGCAATTCCCCCTTCAGAAGATTTCTAAAATCCAGAGAGAGATCGAGAGAAGAGACAACCTGTAAACTAATTCATTTGGCCATTCAAAAACAAACAAACAAACAAATACGACTCAAATCTAATTAAAACATCATGATAAAATCTGAAATTAAGAGGGGCCTAACGTGGGAACTCCTGACGGTACCCCGTGTGTGGTTCCAGTGGCCACTTGATCCCCCTTTATTCTGGAAAAGACATGTGCCCGTTAGTTTGTTTTGCCTATTGAGCTGGGCATCATTAGATGTAGATAAACATTTACAATCATATTCCCATCACATCTGGAATGTATTGCACATTCTTTATTTGTTTAACACTAATCACTCTTGATTGGCGAATTAAGTCAGCAAATATTGAGAAAATTACATACGATCGCCTGATTTTATCGCAGTTCCAACATCGCGCTGCACCTCTTTGAGGCAGTGAGTGGCCATTAGAAGGCGTTTAAGAATATCGCTTATGTATTTAGTGGCGCATTATACGCTTAGCGGGGTTTCATGCCCTAACGAAGTATTTTTTTGTTTGAGAATTTTTCATGATTCCCGACAAAAGGAAATATAATTTAGATATTTTGGAATACTAGTATAATATACCATGTCATGATGTTCGGCCAGAATTCACAATCACTACGCCAACCCCCGAACTCCTCCTTCTACATAAGGGACATTCTAGGACCCGATTCGAGACCAATTGGGACAGCGGAAAAGTTTCCAGAATATGAACACATCCAGAGAGACCCGTCCGCGACCACGTACCCTCCGGGTCCTTACACGAGTCACGTGATGCAGCATCAACCCCTGGTCCCGTCCACCAGGGCACATCCTCTAGCTTACAGAGGTAAACATTTACACCACAATTCACAATATTTAGTTTTTCAGTAAACAGTGAATTTCAGAAAAATTTAAGCATTATAGTGACATATTTCTTCAATATATACAACATAATGCAAAAAAGTTCTACTTCTTTTCCTTTTCTTTAATAATTAACATAATTGATATAAATTGTTGAAGATAAGCATTAACTTTTAATATTGTCGCAATATTTTTAAAACATTTTTTATGTATAAATTTTGCATGAAGCAATGAAATGATTGATAAAGGCAAATGATACTTTAAGGAGGCAATAAATATATTACTTTATATTAAGTTTGCTTTAAGTATTTAAAGTTTGTTTTAAAAACGGGATTTTTTCCCATTCATTGAACCACATATCTTAGAATATATTGAAACGAGTTTAAATATATTTCATATTTTCACACGAATTGAAAATTTCTGCGATAGAAAAAAGACATTTTTTTCTTTTAATTACTGCAATATAAATTGTTATCGCTAGATTGTGAATTTCTTTTTGTTCCCTTCTGTTACCCTGGAATATTTAATATTTCTTCATTTAACATCTTTGGAATCTTTTGATAAATGACATAACAACAGTAAAATAAATAAATAAATAAACAAACAAATAAATAAATAAAAGTAAATAAATAATTTTAACTTTTTCAAAAGGATTTGAGAGTCATTCGTCATATCAAAATAGTATATTCATGCAATTACTTCTTTCAAAAATTATACGCTTCAATAATAAAAAAAAACCTTTGGTTTAGCGTTTAAACAAATTGTGCATACATGTATTTTTGAAGCATTCAATGTTTTAAAGAGTTAAAGATGCCAACTTCTTATTGAAATAATTTGAAAAAAAAAAATAAATAAATAAAAAATCTCTCAATTGTAAGCATATCATATCAGATTAAGTATGACGTTTTCAAATATTTGTTTTAATTTGTTTTGGTGCAAACAATATTTAAAAAAAAAACCAAACATACAAAAGCATGTATAATATTGCAGTAAATATCATTTAACAATACCCTGAATCATTCCTAGTATATTATATAAAACTTCCATTTTAAATAAATAAATATGTTCGGCAAACAACAACCTTACAAGATTTTTTTTCTTTATTTATTCTTTTTTTTTTTTTTTTTTTTTTTTTTTTTTTTTGGCAAAGTAAGGTATTGTTTGAACATTTTTTAACACCTGGGTGTGTGAAATTTCTCATATTAATCCGTGGCATTAATTTTAAAATGCAAGAAGCTGATGAATCTTAGCAAACTTAATTAATAAATAATCCAAACTAATTAATAATAACATTTTTTAAAAAATTACTTTTTTCAAATGAAAATTCCGGTCCGTTCAATATGAAAACTTCTTTTTAAAAAATGGGTCAGGAAAAATTTTAAAATGACACTGGAAAATCTGCAACAAAACAAACAAAAGTTATAAAATGAAATATTGTTTAAATAATTAAAAAAAGTAATATCTTAGCAAGTGAAATGGCACCTCCGAAGTGGCAAATCCCACCCCTGAAGTTGTTTGTTCTGCTCCCAATTTGTAGTTTTAATATGGACTTTTGAGTTTTTGCAATAGTAAAAGGATACTAAATGAATACCACTATATTTTAGAATGTAATGATTTAGAATATTTGAGGAAAAAAATCTTGACCCAGAAATTGGTTGTAAGCCAAATATTATGAAGTTTTGTGAAATTATTTGCCCAAAAGATGTTGAACTGGTCTCTTCTCCCTCTAGCTAGACTTGAATCATACTTCTTTTTTTTTTTGTACCTCATGTACCATTTACATCGTTTTGAGAGAATAAACTGAATTGAGCTTAATTGCTGTTCGTTAGTTTCATATTTCACCTGTCATATTCATCTCCAGCAATGGTTTTTGAAATGAAAAAAAAGTCTTTAATCTGAATAATTTTAATCTTTTACTATAAAGGCTAATTAAAAGAATGTATACTAGTAAATAATTAATTTTTTACTATAAAGGCTTATTGAAAAAAATGTACTACTAAATAATTTTAATCTTTTACTATAAAGGCTAATTGAAAAAAATGTATTTCTTATAAGACCGACATACTTGTAGGTTTTCAGATAAATATTCCCTCATTCTAGTTTTCTGTGTAGATTGCTTTATTCTTGCGAATATTTATAGCAACCCGGAGATATATAATTATATAAATTAACAGCATGCTAAAAAAATCATACATTTGCATAAATCAGCAAATTCAAAATGTATGAAACTTTTTATAAATTTAATATAGAATTATTTTTTTTTACCAGGCTTTCCGATGGAGTCGTTACTGGACCTACAAGACACGAGTTCTCTTCCAATTCCGCTTCCTGTTTACATAAGATCCCGCTCCCCCGGGGAGACCTCGGGATTCTTAAAACCAAAGAAGTGTCGGCGGAGTCGTACGGTGTTTACCGAGCTTCAGCTAATCGGCTTGGAGAAAAGATTCGAATCCCAGAAGTACCTGTCTACACCTGACAGGTTAGAGCTGGCGGATTCTCTCGGACTTTCACAGGTTCAGGTCAAAACGTGGTATCAGAATCGACGGATGAAGTGGAAAAAATCCGTGAGTTTATCTTAATATCTTAAGGTGCTCGATTTACATTACTGTGTTTTGAAATTGAGTAGAAGTAGATAGTACCTCTTTTTATCAGTTTATAAACATTACTTTTAAGAAACTTTTATACCTTTCTCCTTGTTGAATCTCTTAAGTAATTAATAAAAATTAAAGACACACAGGCAGGAATTTCCTTTCTCATGTATAAAATACAGATCAATTGTATCGAAAAAGTTAAAAGTAATATTTTTATTTTTGATTTTCTAGAATTCTTCTGCATTCCTATACACTAAGTTTATTTTCTCATGTTTCTTCCTTTCGAGAAATTACAAAAAAGTTTATATTCTGACTTCTTTTACCCAAATTTTATACAAGACGCAACTCATATCATGAAAGAAGAACCTTTAAAAACTTGTCAAATAGAATAATAAGTATATCAAGAATTCAAATATTCTTTATGTCTTTTAGACAAAATGCTCATCAAAACAGCACACTAACATTATACAAAAATATTAAAAAGTATATACGGAGTCTACGAAGGCAATTGCAAGCATTCAAAGTTTTAAAGATCGGATAAAAATAAAGATCGGATAACAATCAGAACAGGAAAGAAGAGCAACGTCATATAAATGAGTTTGGTGAATCAATGATTAAACATTTTTACATGTTTTTTTTTGTTTTGTTTTGTTTTGTTTTTGTTTTTGTTTTTGTTTTTGTTTTTTTTTTGGGGGGGGGGGGTTATTTGAATTTGAAATGCTATCGGTTCTTCAAGCTTAAATTTCAACACAGCTGATAAAGTTGAAAGTTTTAATCATCACATATACCGAAAGGCTCTAAATATTTTGTTAATTAGATCATAAGTGAAGTACCCAACCATAAACCACACCTGATGAATGAAAACATTTAGATGGATTTGACAGGCTCCTTTGCCATACTTACAAGAAACAAGAACCACCAGCCAACCTTTGCTTTATATTGGATCTTTATTTAATGAAAAGTGCATAATTAATATTTGAATATTAATTAGTTTTTTTCACGCTGTTTTTGCCACCCTGAGAAGAGTATATGAAAAAGGTGAATATAATAAACATTGATCGATTAGAAAAATACAAATCTGTGAACAGGGCATAAAAACCGGACCTCCGGAAATTCCAGAGGTGGAATCAGGTGGGATAATTAAGAGGAATCCATATTTATTCATTACAAAGATTAAATTTATTCATGTCTTATGCCTTTAAGAAAAACATAACAAGAAAGAGCAATCTCAACTCATTGGTAGCTTAAAACTTTCCTGAAATGTGTACATTTTTTCCTATTATTCCAGATTATGCAAAAAGAAAAACCTACAGGGCAGCCAGATATCAAAGAAATTCGGGAAAAGAGTGACTCCTGTGATCAGACAGACGGACAAAGTGTAAAATCTCAGACTTCCATATCATCATCATGATATTCATTATTTGTAACTTTATCACTTATTAATGATGCCGAGTCTGGAATCACAACTTCTCGCTGTCTTCTCATCTCTATATGAGAACAGCTGTCTATGTGTCGGACAAAATTTACGTTTTTTAGACGAATTGCAATCGTAAACCCTTACCGTAGACATTGAACATGTTCAAAACATCTTCGAGTGTCATTTCATTGCTTCACCGCGAAAAGGACTGTTAGAACTTCTTACAATTTTTAAGTTGTCTAGTATTTAATGATATCAAAATTGTCGGAATTTCCTTCAATAGTTTTAGAAATGTAATGTTCCAATTTTATGCTACAAGAGTTACAGGAATTTTATTTTTTACTATGACAGTCGTGGGTTAATCTTACGCCCATTAATCATTCAAGGCTTTATCAGGAAAATAGTGTATAGGCTGGATTTTAATGGTAATAAAAATAATCTTTTCGAAAAATTTGATAAACGTTAACGGATAGATAAGGCCATTCCAAGTTTTTTCTAAGTTTAGCGTCCGCGTGCGCCTTGGTTTGGGCACCCCTTATCAGAAAAGAAAAACAAAGTTAACAAAATTAGGAGTCTTAAAATTGATTATTTTGGTCAAAAATTTGGAAATTTGTCAAGTTTTTTAAATATTTTTCACTAGTATGTTATAATATGTATATTTTAAGCATTTAATACCTTGATTATACCAAACAAAAGATATTTCCTATGAGAAAAATAGATTCATGAAATCAAATCCTTTGAATGATGTCATTTTTATTACTGTAAAGTCTGTGTTTTATTTTTTGGCTTGTGTGTTTTTTGCGAAAAGGTAGGTAGGGTTTTGAAAGATGGGTGGACGCTAAACAGAGAAAAAACTTGGAATGGCCTAAGTAAATAAATATAGATAAAATAAGTATACCGCTTGTTGTTCACTGATTTCATTAATTTATTTATAATTTTAAAAAAAATCATCTGCGGTATCAAGTATTCTAGGGATTGGGCGTAAATACCACAAAAGAGTAAGTGGAACCGACCGTGCATTTGAAGAAGTTGGCCCTGGGATCATCTTAAGTTTAAGTCAAAATCTTTCAGTTGTATTAAAATGTTATAGACTTCAAGCAGACCAAAATTAAAATATTTTTCAATATTGCTTCACAAAAGTGTTGCTATCTGCAAATTTAGAGATTGATTCAATAATTAATAAACATTTTACAGCTGATTGAAAATTTGACTTAAGTCTAAGTCTATACTATTTCATGATTCTGGGGCCTGGACTCAGCTTCATAATCAAAAAGAGAAAACAAGTCTTAAATATTTTTACTTTAGGAAGCACTTGAATAAAAAATAGAGAACTATGGCTTGTGTTATGTACAATTCAGACTTATAAAAACGCTTGTAATTTCTGCTTTTATTTAAAGTTCAAAATTCAGGTCGGGATCATGATTTTCCTCAGCTTTGCGGATGATTTTTAAACATGCACTTATCAGTAATTGATATGTACGGAAACCGGTTGGTGCCAGGTAGAAAAAATATTTTATCTGGCGGCCGCCACATAAATAACTGGCGGCCGCCAGATAAAAAGATCTGGCAGCCGCCAGAAAGTTATCTGGCGACTGCCAGATAAAATATCTTTTCTACCTGGCACCAACCGGCTTCCGTACAAAATAAATAAAAATCAAAATATTTTTTTTTACTTTTCATAGAAAATATTCTTTTTCATTTTCATCTAATTTTAAATAAATACTTCAAAACCAACATCGTGTTTACCGCGAAAAGGACTGGTAGAACTTCTTATGTTCCAAAATTCAGAATTTACTGTTTAATTAGACAGAATTTGAATCATTAGACAGTCTTTTAACACTCTTACAAATACATGTATATCTTTCCTCGCATACCCTTGTCAGTAGTCTTTATATGTTCTATCTAGCTAGGAATAAGGCCTAATTAATGACCCTCTGTTCTAAATTTCACCCCCCCCCCCCTAAAAAATCCAAACATTGATTTTTATTAACAGCAAAAGCCTTAGATTCCAATGGAAAAAAGATTAAAGCACGAAGCGAGGCTTACTTTCTCGGAAATTAATTTTATGTCTTATCATGATATATAGAAAATGTGACACAATGAAAAGAAAGAGCAAAATTTTATCATCACAACATAAAATTAAAAATATGAGGTATACATAAAAATAATATTTAGTGTCATACCTGATAAATTTATTTAAAGAAAAATCATAATGAAGCGATGCTTTTTAAGTCAGAATATCACATTATAATTTAAGCTGTTAAATAAATAATGTGTCCGTTAGCAAGAGTTACCTTTGTAATTTTTTTCTTTATGTAATAAAAGTATGTACATGTAATAACAATAAAAATACTGCATATGGTTACCATGGTAAATTTTCAAGTTTTTTTTATATAATATCATTTTACATAAAAAAGATAAATAATCTAATTGGGCTGGAAGTTGTGGGGAAGAGGGTTTTAAATCACGACGTAAATTACGACCCTCTTCCTCACACCTTCCAACCCAAGTACAGCACTGTTGTACAACCCTATGTGTATTATATATATATATATATATATATATATATATATATATATATATATATATATATATATATATATATATATATATATAGATTAGGAAGCAAACTAGGTACGGCATTTCCATATGGTTGCAAGGGCCACAAAAATAATGCAGGGAATCTTTCAAGCCCACAATGCGCCAATGTGAATGTGATGGGACTTTTTAACAAAACACCGAGACTTAGGCGTAGTCATGGGCATCGATCATACAATACGTGTTTTTATACTTTCATGTTAAATACTAAAATCTGATTGGTTTAGACGCAGTTAACAATCCGTAATGTTACCCTCAGCACTAGCAACACACTTGACAACGGGTAACACAACGAAAATGTTACATGTGTGCAAAATATGCGAATACGATTCACCGTAAAATTCTCAAAACGTCCGCTGTGCGTTTGAAAGAAGCTGCCTAAACTAGACGTCAATAAGAGCTTGCACCCGATGGAGCTTACTTGATTGATTGATTGTATGTTGTTTTACGTCCCGTTCGAGAATTTTTCACTCATATAGAGAAGTCACCATATACCGGTGAAGGGCTTCAAATTTTGACCTTTACTCGGCACTCAGGGCCATTGAGCAGTCAGGGATCTTTATCGTGCCAACGCCTGTCGTGACACGGGGCCTCGGTTTTTAAGGTCTCATCCGAAGGACCCGCAGCTTTCACTTCAAAGTGCCGAGCGCATGGCGAAGGAACAGTTGCTACCCATTTTTTATCGACTTAGGTCTTACTTGAAAATAAGAAACGACAGACGAAACATGCTTGCGAGTGCAGAAATAACGAAACTTTAGATGATGAAGGAGTGTTTGAGTATCAAACAAACAATAAAGACGTCGATTGATTGATTGTATGTTGTTTAACGTCCCATTCGAGAACTTTTTACTCCTAATAGACGTCACCGTATACCGGTGAAGGGCTTCAAATTTTGACCTTTACTCGGCACTCAGGACCATTGAGCAGTCAGGGATCTTTATCATGCCAACGTCTGCCGTGACACGGGGCCTCAGTTTTTAAGGTCTCATCCGAAGGACCCGCAACTTTCACTTCAAAGTGCCGAGTGCTTGGCGAAGGAACAGTTGCTCTCTATTTTTTTTATCGACTTAGGTCAGTCGCGGCCGAGATGCGAACTCACGTCCCTCCGTTCACGGAGCGAGCGCTCTACCGACTGAGCTACCGTGACGGAAGTTGAAAGACGAAGAAAAGCAAGAACACTTAGATTTTGTTTTAGATGTTTAATATCTAGGCATTGTAGGGTTTGTTTATAATTGAAAAGTTTTGCAACAGTTTGTGAATATATATCTAGATCTGTAGGAAATGCAGGGTGTCTACTTCAACTTGAAATATGGTGGAATGCAAGATTGAACTTTTTTTTTTATGATTAAGAATATTACTAATAAAAGATTAATAGAATCATTCATTACTACGAGTGTGGGATAGTGAAATTCCACCAAGGGGACAAGATTCACGGTCTAGGACGAGGCTTTGCCGAGTCCTAGACCGTGAATCTTGGCCCCGAGGTGGAATTTCACTATTCCCACACGAGTATGTAATGAATGATTATTTTTCTCGCATTATTTTATCCAAAATAACGGCCTGTCAATGACGTCGCCATGATAGGGCTAAAAATATATTCTTTTAATTTTCCATCTAATTAAAAATCTAAATACACCATCGGAGAGAGCGTACCTGAAAATGGTTTACACACAGTGTGAACTGATAAAATGAATTTCAGTCCATGTAAATTAATTAGATAGATAAAAACTGGGAATAAAAAAACTTATCTATCCGAAAGCGTACACATTCATTTAAGAAGAATCATTCCGCGATCAAAAGTAGTGCCATTTAAAAAGTGAAAATACGACAATATTTTGAATGAAAATAAGTTTATCTTAATAAGGTAAATGACAACATTTTAAGTATATGTAATATTTTTTAACATTGTTACAATTTCTTTATATAAAGACAGAATGTTTACGTTATCGTTCGCGGCGTAGTAATACACAGTGTAAGACAGAAAAATCTCACACTGCTGTCTCACACCGGACAAGTCAATCTCACACTGGTGATTATGCGAGAAAAAAGGCAATATCCATACCATGTTATCTCCACATATTTCATTCTTTCATTTGTTCAACTTCGTTGAAATTTTACGTCTGGAAACCCAAATAATACTCACGGCTCACTTTCTAAGGAAGAAATTCTTCAAAGTCATTTTTCACTGTTTAATACTTTTTACATTCTGGTCAACTTAAGCGCGTTCTATCTACCCTACCTGTTCTGGATTCCTAATCTTCATAAAATTCCTTAAAAAACAAAAATACATTGCTGAATCAAGCAAATGATCTATCAAACCCCTATCTTTACTCCTTACAAAATATCAATTGCTGTGAAGGTCTGTGCTAGAGTATATTCTAGAAGTGGCGTAAATCAGATGTGGATTCTCAAAAACTCCACAGAACTTCTAGAAAATTTCAGGTCAATTATTTCTAAAGTCAATAACATCAAAACTTTCGACTTTTCTACACTTTATACACGATTAATAAAAAAGCTAGGGTTTTTGCAAAGTCAACTGCTTCTTCAATAAAAATTGAACTCGGAAATTTTAGTATCTTGTGATTGGTCATCAACAAAATTGTTAAAATTCACTCTGATACTTCACAAAAGTAGTCTGAAGTTGATATTAAAAGGATGCTGGAGTTCCTCATTGACAACATTTATATACAATGTAGTCTTCCAACAAACTGTGGGAATCCCAGTGCATGGGCACTAAATGTGCTATGAAGCAGAAATTATTCGAAAATTTCTAGATGAGAAGAAGAAAACTCTTGCTGTGGCCTCAAATTTAATCAATCAACAATAGTAACTTCATTCATATGTCGACTCGATATAGCTCAGTGAATTTGAATTAAAAGATACCACAGAGTCTGCCACATCTTTTTCATTTTTTATTTTTCTGTTTTCCCAATCATGACACACGGCGCGGGTGTGAGACCGGTCGACAGGGGATGCTTACTACTCCATTGCACCTGATCCCATCTCTGATGTTTTTAGAGGTCCGTTATTGTTCTGCTCCGGATTCGTATTGGTTTTAATGAACTTTTGAGCTTAATTACTGTTCGTAATTTCCATATTTATTTGGATGTTTTACTGACCAAAGACGAAAAGGACCAACTAACAACTGAATTGTATGACAAACAAGATGACTTCAGCTTTTCCATAATTAACTTTCCTTATTTCTGTAGTAATATTCCGCTATCACCTGCATATGGTGTTTGACTCCAAACTTCTTCGATACTCAAAAGCATGCTCTGAGTATGATCATTTTTTTAAATGGAGGCAGTCAATTGGCAGATATGTTGATGTAATTGGGATTTCAACAATCTCGTTTAAAGTCTGGGATTTCAACAATCTCGTTTAAAGTCTGGGATTTCAACACTCTCGTTTAAAGTCCGCATTTCGTGAATGCTATTGTCGTTATAATGACCTTGTTGACAAATGTAACCTTCACTGGGTTGTATTTTGGCTTACGTGTTTCATACCAATTGGTAGGACTTTTTTAATACTTAATTTGACTACGGAATGTTCCTCGGTTTCGATCAACCATTGTTTCCAGTGAAGTTGAAACACACCCAGTAGTGTTCTGGAGAAAACCACAAACAAAAACCCATGTCTGAAATAATTAGGAAATGATGAGTTTAATACTTATACATCTTTATTTGGTAACTGTCACATTAAAATCATCCTATCATACTTTTGGTAATGTATTTTAAATTTCATGTAAATATCCCGTGGGGAACCCCTTCGTTTTTAATGTGTTATTACTGTACATATCCTTCACTGAACCTCAGTTCACTGGACCTTAAAACCCGCCAGTCCGTGCAAGTTAGTTTGGACACGGCAGTCCAGAGAGGAGGACGCTTTTACCCCTCTCAGATATGTTTTATAACTTTTGTAACCAGCATTGATAGTTACACCGAGTACCAGTTGTTTTGCAGGGCTTACTTTGTATTTTTTTTGTGTGCAATGGTCCAGCTTTTCTGAGGTAAGGTTTATGTTTATCATTTTATCTTAGTTATTTTCTTGTATCATTAATTTGTCCTAAAACACCCAGTCACCGCATTTCTCATCAGTTTTAGCACGTATATTTTGTTTAATGTGATTACTATATATAGCAACAGGTATTTGAATATTTATAAGTATGGTGTAAAATTTCCGTCATAATTATTTGTCCTTAAAGTAGCAATTCGTAATATTGCATTTGTGTATGGGTTGTATGTATAGTTTAAACATATCATGTGTGTTTAATTAAGTCTTATCTAAGACGTGTACATTATCTGTAAATCTGATAATGAGTAAAGTATGTATTTGTGTTAAGCCACAAGAGCTTATTAGTAAAACTTGTATGTGTATGTTGGTGCAGGTTCCATCCATCCATAGTAAATGTAGAAACTGTATGGAGAGGCCACCAGGTGCCTTCAGTGTGTCCGCCCTCCCATAATGATGTGTAATAGAGAGGCCCTAGAGATCTTCCTCTAGCCGGTGGAGTGGAAGGCGCGGAAGGACAAAAACCCATTATAGGACAAACAACGGATATTGTATATTTGTACATTTATTGTAATTAAATATGTAAATTATCTGGACAAAAGCATTTGAGTTATATTTAAATTTAGTAAAGAAGTAAATCCGCTCGACTATCTGTGACAAATTGGTGTCAGAAGTGGGATAAGATTCCCTAAGAATATGATTTTTCTGTTCTATTGTTTTTGAAACCATCTTAAGTTTTCAAGTATACTTTGTAAAATTTTGTAAAATATATATATATATATATAAAAAAGAAACATTTTTCTCTTCCTGTTGAATTTTTTTTTATTTGCTTTTTGTTTTCTACATGCTGTTTCATTTTGTATTTTCCAATTTGCTGTTGTGTTTGTTCTATGTTGTAGAGAATCAGCCGGATTCTGGTTGTTTGGGACCTCGGAAAAGTGCTAACAGGAGTTGGGCCTGTCTCAGTGAGTTGGACCATTCTGGTAAAGACAGAGTAAGCAATGGTGCATGTTGCGTAGCTGGATGTAAAGATTATCGCGATGCGGTTAGTAAATGCATATTTTTTGCTGGTTTTACGGTAGTTACGGGTGAAGTGAGGTTCGAATCAAAATTTGTTTCGTCACATGTGTTAGTTATCTCCAAAATGGATGATTTAAATGAGTTGAAATCATTTGGGGAGAGCTTAGGTCTTCAAGCGTCAGACCTGACAAATTTTATTAAAGAGCAGCAAGCTATACAGAAAGATGAAAGACAAGCTCAGAGAGAGTTAGATAAGATCAAAATAAATTCTCAAGCTGAGGTTGAAAGAGAGAGACTAAGTTTTGAGTTAGAGAGAGAGAAAATGAGAAATGATATTGAGAGAATGAAACTAGAACAAAAGCCTATTTTGTCAGAAGAGGCAAAGGTTACAGTCGGTCATGTTTTTCCCAAAACACCCAAACTCCCTTTCTTTGATGATTCTCATGATGAGATGGATAGCTTTCTCCTTAGATTTGAAAGATATGCTGAAGCTCAGCACTGGGATAAATCAAACTGGGCTATAAATCTTAGTGCATTGTTAAAGGGAAAGGCTTTAGATGTGTATGCGTTGATGCCCAAAACTGATGCCCTTGATTACAATACTCTTAAGACCGCTTTATTGAAACGGTTTGAATTGACCGATGATGGTTTTAAAAAGAAGTTTAGATCATGTAGGCCAGATCAATGTGAAACCTTTTCTCAATTTGCTGTTCGACTGAGTAGTTACTTTGATAGGTGGGTTGAAATGGCAAAGGCAACCAAAACATATGAAGGTTTGTATGATCTTATGTTGCGAGATCAATTTCTGCATGTATGTAGTCAAGATTTGAGATTATTTTTGAAGGAGAGAATACCTGAGAGTTTAACGAGAATGGCAAATTTAGCTGACCAGTACAAAGATGCCCGCGACTTAAGTGCGCTTCAAGCTGCAGGTAAGGGTAAGATTTCTTTGTCAAAAAAGGTCGATCAGGTAAAGAAAGTGGATGTTGGTGAGAACAAGAGTTCATCTTTTGATAAGAAAAGATTCATACCCAAGTCAGAGCGTAAGTGCTTTAAATGTCACAAAGTTGGACATATTGCATCGGAGTGTAGGTCCAAAACAACTTTTAATAATGTGTCGCATGCTGTACAGGACGTTGGATCTTCTGAGCAAAAGGTATGTTTTGTTAGCACAATGCCCTCAGACTCTGTTATAGATTCCACTGCATCATCTTTTCCAACAACTACGTCATTTTCATCTTGCCAAAGGAGCTTAGCTTCTAGTATGCCGATATCTGCAGGATATGTTAACCATGTACCAGTGACAGTCTTGAGAGATACTGGCTGCAGTGGAATTGTCATAAGGAGGAGCAAAATACCAGAGGAAGACCTAGTACAAGGTAGAAAACAGACTTGTGTTCTAGCAGATGGTTCCAAAATAATTGTTCCGATTGCAGAGGTTTCCATTAACACTCCCTTCCTGAAAGGACAGTATGAGGTATGGTGCATGGAGAATCCTGTGTACGACTTGATAGTTGGTAATGTCCCAGAGGCCAAGCCAGCGACTCAACCAGACCCAGATTGGCAGATAAATGCTGTTGAGACCCGACAACAGAAACGTAACAAGAGTAAACCATACGCTCAGCTTAAAGTGCCAGCCATCATATCTGAGGATCTTGATCCATTGAAAATTAGAAATGCACAAGAGCAGGATGTTTCTCTGAAAAAGGTACGTGAATATGTTGAGAGCCACGTGACTCAGATGAAGAAGAATGGTAAGGTGAGTTGGTTTACGAAAAATGGACTTTTCTTTAGACAATATACCACTCATACTGGAGGATAAGAAAAGGTGTATACCCAGTTGGTTGTTCCTGCAAAGTTTCGGGACCAGGTAATGAAACTAGCGCATGACTCTTTGTTAGCAGGTCATTTGGGGACGCAGCGAACCTTAGCAAAAGTTACATCTGAATTCTTCTGGCCAGGGATGCAGAGTGAAGTGCGACGTTACTGTCAGTCGTGTGACATATGTCAACGCACAGTTCACAAAGGTAAGGTACAGAAAGTGCCACTGGAGCGAATGCCACTCATAGATGAACCCTTCCAGAGAGTTGCCGTCGATCTTGTTGGACCACTTTACCCAATAACAGACAAAGGTAACCGTTATATTTTGACTTTGGTAGATTATGCCACTCGCTATCCCGAAGCTATAGCTTTACCTAACATCGAGACAGAGAGAGTTGCAGAGGCACTTATGGACATGTTCTCGAGGATTGGTGTGCCCCGTGAGATGTTGACAGACATGGGAACACAATTTACTTCTTCCCTTATGTCAGAGGTGAGTCGACTTATTTCTCTTCGTCAATGGACAACAACACCATATCATCCGAGTTGCAATGGGTTGGTAGAACGATTCAACGGAACTCTGAAACAAATGTTGAAGCGACTTTGTTCTGAGAAACCTAAAGATTGGGATAAGTACCTGAGTGCAGTTTTGTTCGCCTATAGAGAAGTTCCACAGGAGAGTCTTGGATTTTCTCCGTTCGAGCTTGTATATGGCAGATCAGTTCGTGGACCAATTTCTATCCTGAAAGAGTTATGGACCAAGGATATTCCAGATCCCAACGTAAAGACTACATATCAATACGTCCTGGATCTCAAAGACAGACTTCAATCTATGGCAGACTTAGCAAAGGAGAGTTTAGAAAAGTCGTCTACCAGGTATAAGAAAAACTATGACAAGAAAACGAGACATAGAAGTCTAAAGGTAGGAGAGAAAGCATTAGTTCTATTGCCAACTGACAACAATAAGTTATTGCTTCAGTGGAAGGGACCTTTTGTGGTGACTAACAAGGTAAACAGAGTAGATTACCAATTGGATGTTCAAGGTAAGAAGAAAACGTTCCACATAAATCTATTAAAGAGGTATGTTGAGAGAACTTCTGATATTGTTTCGATGACGTGTGATGCAGGTGTACTTGGTTTGGTTAACGCATCAGTGGTTGATTGTGTAGATGACGAAGACCAAGAAGGCCAGTTAGACGTGTATCCTCAATCAAAGGTTAGTGGAAGTAATGTTAATATAAACCCTTCATTATCAACAGAGAACAGGGACAAGTTGTTGAAATTGTTGGGTCAGTACAGTGATGTTTTCCAAGACAAGCCAGGTCTCACAAATGTCCTTGAACACGACATAAGAATGGCAAGTACAAAACCCATTCATGTAAAAAGTCGTCAAATACCGTATTCTATGGAGGAGACAGTCAACAGAGAGGTAAGTGACATGTTAAGTATGAACATTATTGAACCCTCCGACTCTCCGTATTGTTCACCCATCGTTATAGTGCCCAAGAAAGATGGAACAAATAGGTTTTGTATAGATTTTCGTCTGTTGAACAACCAGACTATATTTGATTCTGAACCAATGCCTGACACTGACGAAATGTTTTCCAAACTTGCAGGTCACAAATTCTTTTCAAAAATCGATCTTTCAAAAGGTTATTGGCAGGTAAAATTAACAGATGAAGCAAAACCAAAAACAGCTTTCAAAACGGGGAAAGGATTGTTCCAGTTTAGGGTGATGCCCTTCGGGTTGGTAACGGCTCCCGCTACTTTCTCAAGGTTGATGCGCAAGGTCTTGCATGGTATGGAGAATGTAGACAATTTTATAGACGATATTTTGGTCTACACAAGGTCATTAGAACATCATTTTATTGTTTTGAATGAGCTTTTTCAGCGATTACGCCAAGCAGGTTTGACAGCCAAGCCTAGTAAATGTTCATTGGCTTATTCAAACATAGACTGCCTTGGACACATTGTGGGTAATGAGCAGTTGAAACCAGACTTAGACAAGGTTGATGCAATACGTAATGCACCTGTCCCGCTTACCAAAAAGCAATTAAGGTCATTCCTTGGTTTAATCGGGTTTTACCGTAAATTTGTGCCAAACTTTGCCCAGATTGCTTCACCTCTTACTGATTTGACTAGAAAAGGTTCTCCTACTAAGCTTCTTTGGGAAGAATCTCATAATTTAGCATTTCAGACGTTGAAGAGTTCACTTACAAAGTGCCCCATTCTGAAACTCCCCAACATCAATGATACATTCATTCTACAGACAGACGCTTCAGACAGAGGTCTGGGAGCAGTTCTATTACAATGGGAACAAGGTCAAAAACTACCAATTGCGTATGCTAGTAGGAAGCTTAAAGAGAGTGAGTGCAAGTATGCAACAGTTGAGAAAGAGTGCCTAGCAATTGTGTGGGCTATTCAAAAATTCCAAAACTATTTGTATGGGCAAGAGTTTGTGTTAGAAACGGACCATAGTCCCCTTGTATATCTGAACAAGTCTAAGGTAACAAACCCAAGACTTATGCGTTGGGCACTTAGCCTTCAACCTTACAGGTTCAGAATTCAGGCCATTAAGGGCCAAGACAATGTTGGTGCTGACTACTTAAGTCGTTTGTAAATAAGTTATCTTCAGAGTATTCAGTGTTTTATCAATCAGATGTTCTTTTCGTGTATTTTAATGTGTATATAAAGTACTGCATACTTCTTTAAAAAGGGAGGTAATTGTCACATTAAAATCATCCTATCATACTTTTGGTAATGTATTTTAAATTTCATGTAAATATCCCGTGGGGAACCCCTTCGTTTTAAATGTGTTATTACTGTACATATCCTTCACTGAACCTCAGTTCACTGGACCTTAAAACCCGCCAGTCCGTGCAAGTTAGTTTGGACACGGCAGTCCAGAGAGGAGGACGCTTTTACCCCTCTCAGATATGTTTTATAACTTTTGTAACCAGCATTGATAGTTACACCGAGTACCAGTTGTTTTGCAGGGCTTACTTTGTATTTTTTTTGTGTGCAATGGTCCAGCTTTTCTGAGGTAAGGTTTATGTTTATCATTTTATCTTAGTTATTTTCTTGTATCATTAATTTGTCCTAAAACACCCAGTCACCGCATTTCTCATCAGTTTTAGCATGTATATTTTGTTTAATGTGATTACTATATATAGCAACAGCTATTTGAATATTTATAAGTATGGTGTAAAATTTCCGTCATAATTATTTGTCCTTAAAGTAGCAATTCGTAATATTGCATTTGTGTATGGGTTGTATGTATAGTTTAAACATATCATGTGTGTTTAATTAAGTCTTATCTAAGACGTGTACATTATCTGTAAATCTGATAATGAGTAAAGTATGTATTTGTGTTAAGCCACAAGAGCTTATTAGTAAAACTTGTATGTGTATGTTGGTGCAGGTTCCATCCATCCATAGTAAATGTAGAGACTGTATGGAGAGGCCACCAGGTGCCTTCAGTGTGTCCGCCCTCCCATAATGATGTGTAATAGAGAGGCCCTAGAGATCTTCCTCTAGCCGGTGGAGTGGAAGGCGCGGAAGGACAAAAACCCATTATAGGACAAACAACGGATATTGTATATTTGTACATTTATTGTAATTAAATATGTAAATTATCTGGACAAAAGCATTTGAGTTATATTTAAATTTAGTAAAGAAGTGAATCCGCTCGACTATCTGTGACAGTAACATATTTGTATGTTCTGTATCTTATTCTCTAGAACAAACAACACAGGTGAGCTCCCATCCGTCATTGTAAGGAGGACACTTAAGGCTGCCACACCTGGCTTCCACTGGGTAGAAGAGTTTGCCAAAGTGGGTTTGAGTCCCCCCGTTTCGATATTGGGGATCTTTGTCGATGCAGGAGTAGGTGGAGGCAGCCCGGTGGCCGTGGTATCCTGACATTAAATATCCTCCATACTCTTTTTTCCAGCCATCGTAACACTGTGTTCTCGCTTGAAAAGAAATATAAAATAACAAATACTGTTCGCCGACATAAAAAAAAAAACAAGCAGAAGTTTCTGCTGAGACTGTAGCCCTGCTGGTTCACAAAGGATTTTACATATATCATTTAAGGAGATGGGCGAACATAGCGTGCAGAAAGCCTATAGCTTCAGAAATATAAAAATCATGTTCAGTTGGTGAATTTAGTATTTAGAGTAAAGTTCTCATTATTGAAGTTTATGAAATTGCGATAAACAAAACTTTTCTGAGGAAAATTTTCTCGGCAAAATTTATTCTTTTATTTAAAAAAAAATTAATGTGGTATCCGTTGGGTTCGAACCCTAGCAATAAAAATCCTGAGAATCATTTTCTTTCGAGACTAGCACGCTAACCACTAGACTAAACTTAAATCATGTTTGTGATATGACCCTTGACTTAATGGACTTCAAGTATTTCTCGAAAAGATGCGAATGTTATGTCATAAAAGATTATTTTTAAGGTATAGTGGGTCATTGCTCCATATTTTTGGTAACCAAAAAATGTATATTTTTATGCAAACTTTGAGGATTAACTTTCAAAAAGGTGGAGCGAAGACCCACTCATATCGAAAAATAGTGTTATAGTATGAGACTCTTTTTGCCCGCTTTAGTGTGTGTCTAATATTTCACAGGCAAATAATTTCAATCTTTGAGGGATTTTTGCAAATTGTAGAGATTTTACATAAAGTATATTTTAATGTTAGACGAAATATCAAGGAAAATTTTGATATAATTGAAGTTTAATTTTTCATCTTGATGTTTGTCACACTATAGGCTTATCGCTCGTCATGTTCACCCATCTCCTTTAGTGCTGAGCAAATCGCTTTATGGGTTATGAAGCTATTACCTTATTAGTAGTTTTATCTCAGAGAAAGACATTGGAAAATGTGAATATTATATGCGTGTTCGCTATAAGCGTCAATTCATTATATGCGTGTTCGCTATAAGCGTTAATTCATTGTATGCGTGTCCGCTATAAGTGTGTTTTACTGTAGATAAGAAGAAAGTATCTCATATTGGGAAGATATATACCTTCAATAAAATGGATTGAGGTCTGTTAATTGGATAATAATAACACAAGTAAATTCAAAGAATTGTGGTCTCCCGCTTTCGATATCATAGTTGATGGGATGAAATTATTTATGGCATATTGTAACATTCTTAAATGTGCGTCCTCTCTTGTCTGTCCATCAAGTTACGCAATGATTACTTAAGTTTCAATATTGCATCAAACTTCAAGATTTTGAGTTCAAATATTGTAATAAAATTTAAAAGGTCTTGTCCAAAGTAATGCAATGTGAAGAAAATATTAAAGCCCTGTCTCTTTTAGAGCAAAAGCTACGGACAAAGTTTAAATTTCTGATAATTAGGTCAAAATTCTAGGTCAAGGTCAAGAAGTAAAAAAAGATGGGTTTTTTTTTCTGAAAAGTGTTGTAACAGGTAATGCACATGTCAAATATATATGCCCTGTCTTCTCTCATTCAAAAGTTATCATCAGTGTTTGATTTTTAACAAGTGCTTCAAACTTCAAGTTCAAGGTCAACAGATCAAAACTCATAGTACATTTGAAAAGTTCTTGTAACAAGTAATGCACACGTCAAATATGAACGCCCTATCTTCTCTTATTCAAAAGTTATCACCGATGTTAAAATTTCTGAGTAAGTAAAACTTTCAGGTCAAGGTCACATTTCCGAATGTACAGTGGTTTTTGACAAAAACAAATTACTGAATATTATTTTTTACACATTTGCAAATTAACATTAATTGTTTTTATTAATTGCTTATACCCATTGATCAATGCAAATTGTAGATAGACTAGTACAAAAATGTTTTTTGAATTACCTGGGATAACTACGACGGATGACCTGCTGACAGTCTCGCAAACAGCACATGGTACATCGTGACCACGCATGTGAGAAAATATGCCTCTATTACGAATATAATATTCAGCTCCATAGACATACCCTCTATGTTCATCCAGCCCACTATCGGTGTGTCTCCACTGTGGGTCTTTTGGTAAACAAAGTGGTTCTACTGCACCACCTGGATGTTCATACCAAGTTCCCCCCGCATATCCTGAAAAAAAGAACCCCTAAAGGTAACAGAGAGAGAGAGAGAGAGAGAGAGAGAGAATCTATTAAAAATATTCAAAATACTTCAATTCATTCGGCTGTTTGTACACGTTGAAGGCTTTGAAGCAATGTGACCTTCATCAGGTCCGTAGGAAGCAATTTCACTGTCGGGGTGCGCAATCAAACGTTTTCAGTTGTTTTTTTTTTTTCGGGGGGGGGGGGGGCTACGAAGCAAAGTTCCTTGGCAATCCAAAAAAAAGTTATTAGGGAGTCAACAGCCGTTATTATTGAGGGGCAATAAAGTAGCTTTGTTTTCTATCGTATACTAAAAATTGGCAAAATTATTGGGGGCACGCACCCCCCCCCTCCCCCCGTTCCTACTGCCATGTCCATCTGGCTGCAAGAAATGCCATAATTCCGCCAAAAATCAATGAAGCGGAACGAAATGCAAACTTGATCTATAACTAATCAAGGTTAAGTCACATACCAAAAATCTGCTTAATATATGCAAGCATTTAGAAGAAAATCGTGGAAAATCCTTAAAAATTGAAAAGGCCGTAATTCCCTCAAAAATCAATGAAGCGGAACGAAATGCAAACCTTGATCTGTAACTCATCAAGATACACTCACATACCAAAAATCAGCTCAATATCTGCAAGCGTTTAGGAAAAAAAGTGCGAAAAACCAAGTGGGACAGACTGACAAACAGACAGATAGACGGACAGCTAGACAGACGGACGGACAGACTCAGAGGAAACCTATAGTCCCCTCCGGTTTCATCGGTAGGGGACTAATAAAAAGCATGTGGTTTTCTGTGATTAGGAGTTCTTAAATAAATTTTTGAACTGTTAAAAGATAAAATTAAATACTTCTACTTTTATTGTGATAACTGTATGTTGCATTACTTAATGAATGACCCTCGTATCTGTGGATATTCCAAAGTGTCATCGTTCTCTACTTGCACAATTTAGATGTGGTGTGTTACCTAATAGAATAAAAACAGGACGGTATAAGGGGGAGGCTTTATCTGACAGACTCTGTACTCTATGTTCTTCAAATAGTGTAGAAGATGAATGCCACTTTTTGCTTCATTGTACATCATATTCAAATTTTAGAACAATCTTTTTTTTTTTACCACTATTGGATTTAAACCAACTTCATTTAATGTCAGATTTAGACAAAACCAAATTTCATTTAGTAAATTTCCCAAGACAAATCGGAAAATTCATATACTCAGCATATACTTACAGACAGTCTATTATTTATAATAAACGCAATGCGTAATATCACTGTATTCTTATTGAATGTTATACAATGTTAAAAGTGACATATACGTATAGGCCCGATGGGCCGGGTGTTTAAATTCCTAATATTATAAGTATATTTGTTGACAGTTGTTGTAATCGTACATAACTATAATAAACCATTTACTTACTAACTTACTGTACTGTCTGTGTCTAACACGCTTGAGTAAAGAAATAAAACATCCGGATTGACCAGCTGCAGAATGTGTTCTAAGAGCTCGTGATACGAGTGGCTTCATGGATAGTGTTTGTCAGATTGTATCGTAGAAGGATTTCATTTACAATGTCTGTTCTATGATTATTAAAGAAGTCGACATTAACACTGATTAAGGTCTCACCTTAAACTATTTTAGTGGAAATATCAGAAGCCTTTTCTATAGATCACAAGGTTATTCCAAAAGGATTTGTCACTGTTTGGTGGCCTGGGCGGCATACACAACGAAGTAAAAAGTAACATGTTCTAACCAGATGGCTTGAAGAGATTCAGAAATATAAACAAGAAATTCTCCATAATAATTCCTGTCTCTCCCAAAAATTGTGTAAAAGCCCTCACTTGAAATATAACAATTATTTATACTACCGTCTAAATGTGTTTCTGTGAAGCATAAAATATCCGGTAACAAACCTTGTCAAACTTTCAATTTTGTTTCTAATATAATGCTCCTGTGAAAAATATCTTAACTATGAATAGAAACACAATTCGGACCGAGATTAGTTTCGATCTCGCCAGACAATAAAAATAGTAAATGAAAGACTTGGAAGCAGAAAGAAATGAACATGATCAAACCTTTCATACCCTTGTTAGTTATACATTTAAACATTTGCAAATAAATGTTTGTACACATAAAATAAAAACGAAAGTTAATTACTTAGATATTTCCATTTCTAGAAAATATTAATGTTTCTAGGATTCGCTTATAAGTCACTTATAAGTCCAACTTACAGACAAGTTTATATACGGTTTTTAATTAAAGCCAACGAAATAATACCTGAATATATTAATTCTGCACTCTCCGGACAATCTTTTCTGCCCCAGCGAGTATACACAGCTCCCCCTGGCGAGCCACTCTCAGCCTCTAGAATAATTGCTACCGATACCATTAGGGCTAGACAGATCATCTTGATGTAATCTATAAATATTTCAAGTTCTGAATGAAATGCCTCAATCTTGAAAGAGTAGGAAAAGAATGTTCGAAGATTTTTTTTACACATATATACTGTATCAAGAAAGGAGAACATGGGTGAATAGGCCGAGAAAAAGGATAACACGCATGGTTTGACAAAATTAATAAAAATGTGAAAAATTTAAATTCCACCTTGATCCATTTTATTGAAATGAAGAATATGTATCTTTCTTGTACATTTGAAATGCATAGAAAAACAGAGTGCTCATTATATATGAAAAGTACAGATTAAGGATAAAATATTCATATTTTTCATGAAAAGTCCAGTTATTCGGAAGTCATATCACTAGAAGGATTTATATGTCAACACTTCTGATGAACTGCGTGGCTAAGTGGTTAGAGAAGTGACGGTTTTTCATC